CCGTGAGATGGTAATGCAAAACCGGCTACACCTTTCTAAACATACACTGTGTTGACATTTCAAGAAATTCATGGACCAGGACAAAACAATGACATGTTTCAGTTAATGGGTTGTGGCGAGTATCTGGACTCTCGGGCAGGTCCTCTTTCACCACTGACGTCCTCAACGACGCAGCTACTTTTACCTTTTAGAAAGCAAGTCAAGGGTTGCGTTACTGCTCAGAATCGCTGCTAATTCCGTATTTGGTGAGCTTGTCTCTGCTCCGCGGTTTGGAGTGATTTGTGCTATCGTCCACAACTGGAGCCCCATTTTGGGACAGCATGGGAACTCTACCTCAGTCCCCTGCTCATGGACTTCCACTCTCATGAGGATTGCAAAATAACTTTTAAATCACCCCTATGGAGGAATTAATCCGAATGACTTATTTTCATTAACGGCTGATTAAATATTTGTGTGCCACCCCCACTACCAATTTTTGTCTCTGTATCTTTTTTCATTGAAGAAGAGGAAGGCAATTGTAAATTGTATTGTGCCACTGCATGTATGAGATATGGGCTTAGCCAAATGGGCACCTAGTCTGTAGTAGAACATAGAAGGGATTAGTATTCATTGAAGGGATAATTGAAAATTAACAATTATATTGTTCTGACCCCTAAGAATGCTTATACGGATACTTATTGAGAATGAATATTCAAAATGAACTTTTTCAACAAAACGAATCAGGAAGTCAAAGAGACACAGTGCACATTCTTGATAAAGACATTTCATGATTTACCTTGCAAGCAGCTGCCTGGCCACATGGGTCACAATCAATAGCTTTAACTCATATTGTTAGCTCTGCAAGACAGAATAAAATACAGAGGCAAGAGCTGAGTAAAGCCGTCCACCGCTCTTGAAAGTGGAAGGCGTGAAATATCTGAGTGTGAGTGTCCCGGAGAGCAGGAGAAAACCCCTTTGCATCTTGCAGCAAGGTTACGCACAGTTCATCAAAGGTTCGTTTTGCAGCGTAGACTTACTAGAATGTGTTCAGCACTGCCGTGCAGCAGCTATTTTCATGTTATATAAATCCTATATAAATATAAGTCTTCTATGTTCTATGTTTTTTATTTAATGAAGTGGGTTATCATGCCTTTTCAGTTTGTACAGTATGTACAGGAGCGAGATCAAAATCTTGCTTTCCTTTCAATATTCAAAGTTATAAGTCTCCTCCTTAATTTACTCTTATATTGTCGACATTAGTCATGTATGACAGCAATATTTCACGGACCAGTGAAGCTGAGGCAGCAGTGTCTTTTTCTCCGGCTACCAATTGTCAGTTGCATGAAAGTGACAGAATACACAAAAAGTTTTTTTTCATGTTAGAACTGTCGTTAAACTTCAGAAATAAAATAGTACAATTTCACCCCAACAATCCTTTGTGCGCTGACTCACTTCTTACCTTATTATATTGTTAAAAAAAACCATCCATTTAAATTTTAAAGAGACACATTAGGCTTCAAAAGAGTTACTGTTATCACAGCACACTCGTTCAAACTGAGTGACGTGCTCTCTGTTAAACAGTGCTAATTGACATACAGTCGTTTTATTTCCCTCAGGGAATAATTACGGTGACAGCCACCGACAGGTATGAATGTGCAGTGCAACAAAAACATGCTGTACAAAACAGCTGCACAACCTGCCAACAATTCTGTTCTGTGTGCGGCCGTTTTAATTAGTTTAACACTGATATCACCATTCACGCTACTTTTTATGGATTGATTTGTTTTAATTAGGAGCATTTAAGGATTTTACAGTTGCCCCCCCCCTCCACACACACACACACACACACACATACAGTGTGGCAAGGATGAAGCAACATAGTGTGTCCGTTTTTTAATCGCCTTCCTCTCCCCTCCATCACTCAGTGAGGGAAGCTTGGAGCAGCAGCCTCCTTTTCCACTCCAGTAGACCCCATCACTGCCGCCGCGACCGAGGGGCCGGGACCCCGCTGCACGGCGGCAGCTGAGGCCGGGGCAGAGAGGTAACAGGCGAGCAGCTCGGGGGGGTATCAGCAGCAGCAGCACCCGCAGGAGGACCGAGATGGATGAACAGTACTCGGCAGGATCAACCAGGCTCTGCAAGCCACAGCGGATAATCTAATACGCTGCACCCCCCCAATTCCCTCTAACCCGAAAACCACATCAACCCACAGCCCGAATGACACCTTTTTCACCAGATATACAGAGAGTGCAGAAGGAAACATGAGAGGAAAGCTGAGCGCGCAAGGAAGCAATTTAGATAGAAAGGCTGAGGGTGAAGGGGGGGAAGTGGGAAGATTTATTGATTGTTTTGACTGGGGTATAATTGCAATTAAAGATTGCAAACAGCCCAGTGGATCAGTTTCGCTGCTGTCACCCAGCAGGACACATGGCAACATTGATTCATCCTCACACATTTCCTCGGCCGGCGGAGGGGGGGGGGGGGGTGCTAATGCACTATCCGTCCCTGCGGGCCGAGTGGATTAGTGCCACGGTGCGCGGTAAACAGCTGGCTCTGAAACTTCTCACACACATGCATGCACACAAAATAATCCAATGACAAGTAACACCCCCAAGGGAGACCACTTTTCGGATTTTAGATGAGATGCAGATGAAGAAAAGTGTTTTTCCTGAAATTTCTGTCCTCCAAATGCTCTTTGTTGCTTTTCATCTTTCTCTGATTTTGTCTCTGAAATTGTTGAAGGCTGGATTAAACAACGTATTTAGCCGCTGCAGACATTTCGTCTCTGTGGGTTTATTTGGTGAGCGGTACGCATTTTCAGCCAGGGCCAGATAGAACGGAGGAGAAAATACTTCAGAATTTGGATTGTTTTCTTAGAAAATCACAGGACTCTTTGAAAGTCACTGTTCACGTCATGAAAACTCACAGCTTGATAATATCCGATAAGCTTCTGGAAATATGTGTTCTGTTGTCCCTAAAGAGGCAAAAAATTAATCAATCAATACTGCTTTTAAGGCACACTTAGTGCAGGAATAAATGACTCTAAAGCAATTCTACTTTCTTATCTGTTAGCTTCACCGCGGCAACTAGCCTTTGAAACAGTGTCACATTGGCATAATCAACAGTTACTCACTGATAACCCTGCTTGACTCGCTCTCACTGAACCAGTCAGTGCATCCCATTAATTTTTTTTTTGCAGCCACAATTTCCTGCCAGTGTGAATGAGACATCTTTACGGGAAACCAAATCGACTATTCATTAACGAGGGGAAGTGGTATCAAGTGCAAACATCTTTAATTAACACATCCCTAGCACTTCCTGTCTTGGATCTCCACCCTGTTTGATTTATGCCTCAGCGAGAGAAGGTTGGAGTTGGTCGAGGGGGCGCTCGGAGAGTTTGGAGGGGGCGAAGAGGCTCCATGAGAAAAATGCTAAACAGTGGAGCCTCCGTTGATCGCCGCGTGTTGCGTTAGGACCTGTTTCCTGTGGGTCGTGGGGGCCAGCTCAATTACCAGTCGGCGTGGCTATCTCCTTAATGACCTGATAAGGAAATAATCCCAAATCCATACAGTTTTAATGACTTTCTGTCTAATTAGGGAGTGTTTTACAAAAGAAGGACACATCACAGGTCTTGTTATTGTCTAGAAATCTATTGTTAGACATTTAAGCATGACAATTAAAGGCTTTTTTTTAAAGTATTCGTATGTATAATTCACAGAGAGACTTACTGTGTCTTAATCATCACAAAACCCATCTGCGATACAACTGTTCAATGTCAAAGAGGTCAGAGCGAAGTAGAGGAGAGAAATCTTCTTCCACTCAGTTCCCACACTGGGTTTACATGTTTCCTGCCGGGAATGTAGATTTCGGCTTAAAGTTCAAATGGATCTTTATCAGTTTAGTATTACACCAAAATCGGTATTAACGACGGTCAATGAAGATTTGGGTGTTGAATCCCGGGACTTGATGTCATCAGCCTGTCTCCGTTAACTAGAGAGGCTCTAATGTGGCTAAATGGGGATTCTGTGTGTTTGTTAGTCGTTAGCCCCATCTAGTGTTGCGCTGTGACTATTTCCTATCTGTCAGAGTCCGTATTTACATTAAAAAAAATTCAACAGTTCTGGCGAACTGATCGTATATTTTTATATTGTTACATGTAATAGGAAAGCAGTTTTGTGATAAGTATTTAAAATCCCAAATATCCTGTAGGTTTCCTCTGAACACATAGTTCATGGTCAGTTGATATACATTCAACAGCTAAAACTGTTTTTATTGAGAGTTTTTAAATACCTAATGGCAAATAACACCACCCCCTCTCCAAACATGACAAATTTAGACAACAAATATTAGGATTATACAGTTATTAATACATTTTTTGACTGAAACAGAATCGTACCAATCTCGCTTTTATATACGCAATACTTGATATGAAAAACTTGTGGGATATGGTCAGATATTTTATTATTATCAAGACCTCGATGAATGAGATTAACCGACAAAAACAACTACATAATTCAGCTATATAATAGTTATTTTTCCCCATTTTACTTTTAATTATTTTGTCAGAATTAATTATTTTTCTTTACTCACTCTCAAACTGCTACTTAAAACAGAAAGTGGAATCACACAATCAAGTTTCCCATAATTACTCCATAATTCATCTTGGTTGCAAAAGGGTACGTGCGTGATGTAAACATTCTGGAGAATTTGCACACCTTTCTATCAGACAATTCATTTCAACGTCCCATATTTACTGGAAACATTTGGGACGTTTGCCTTGATTCCCGATGATTAATGAGGCCGCGACATCAGCCCGTCATCACTGCCCTTCTCCTCAATTCCCCCAAAGGTGTCCAAAAGTCGATGTGGTGGACTTTATCAAACGCATAAGTCTGTGAGCCACACAGATTAATTTCATCCCGAGATATTCTTGTCGGCCTATGTGTCATTCTGATCTGCTGGTGGAAGTGGGAGGCGTGTGAGTACGATGACGCCGTGTGAACTGAACACAGCTGCACAGCCGCACCGTTCCAGACCAACCGAAGGTCAAGCCCGGGTATAAAACACGGAAGAGGCTCGTTCCTTCCTCGTAAAATCGCTCTGACTCGCTGCAGACATGCTCAGGCTTCTGCTGTTGACAAGTCTCGCCGCCCTGGGTAAGAAAACGGTGTACAGAAAGACATCAATAGTGAATTTTTCTCCGTTATTGATCTCTTTCTTTCTCATACGCCCTCTTAATCTGTCAGTCAGTCAGAGTGCTGTCATTCATCCGGCCTGTCACCCATTTCTAGCTCGGCTCCAGCAGCACTTGCCGTCCTGATGCCTCTCGTTTATTTCCCCCTTGCCTCTTCCTGCAGGTGGAAAGCAAACTGTACAGCGGCGCTTCCAGGGAACCATAAATGTTGTACCCGTGTAAATCTTTTTTAATGTTTTTCACCAGCGCTGGCCGGGCTGGAGCCCGAGCCCCGGTACCTGGAGGACATCTTTCAAAGAGTCGTGGGAGGCGAGGTGGCCGGACCCAACTCCTGGCCCTGGCAGGTAACGTGCTTCATATTAAACTGTCAAATAAAACCACCATACAAATGACAAACGTCAATGTTTTCGCACCTGCAAAACACTGGTGTGTTTTTCGCCCCTTTAGATCTCTCTTCAGTACAAATCTGGCAGCAGTTACTACCACACATGCGGGGGAACCCTGATTGAGAGAGGCTGGGTGATGACGGCTGCTCACTGTGTGGACAGGTAGTGAAATGATTAACTCATCCGTACACTTTGTATTCAGGTGTGTGCATTTGGTGATTACTTTGACTTGAATATCCAAAACCTGTTGTTATCACAGTACCGGAGGGGTTGATTTATTTCAGTGTTTCTAAATGTCGCCGGCATGAGGAAAGTCTTTCCAGCCTCATTTATAACTGTCCCACACCAACGTCATGTCTCCGAAGGAATAAGAAAATAAACAATCCAGCAGTGGTTAGAGGGCCTGTCGTGACCTTTACTTTTTACATCAGTTTATTATAATAAGAAGTCCTGATTTGCTAAGGAGTCATTTGACCCCCAATCATATCTAATAATTGAATTTGAACAATATTGTGCATCTCTTTGCTTCCATTTTTTGCCTTAAATAGAGTAAGGACGTGGCGGGTCATTCTCGGTGAACATGACCTCAACAAAGTCAGCGGCAGAGAGCAGATCATGACTGTCAGCAAAGTTCACATCCATCCCGGCTGGGACTCTAGCAGTGTGGCGGGGGGGTGAGGATTGTTTCTTCTTTTATATTCACACATTTGTGGGCTTTTTCAACATGGTTATTTTAAAAAACAGCTTTCATTTGATGAAGTCGGAATGCTTTGGAAGGGAAACAAGCCAATTTTGATGTTGCAAGAATTTCATGACAAGACAACATCAGATCACAGCAGCAATAATAGATATGACAAAGTGCATTGCATCATTAACAAAGCAGCAGTGTGAACATGCACAATTGAAGCAACCATTGTCCTTTAATCCTGCACAGATAGATATGAAACATAAAATCTGAAGCCATTTGTTAGTTGAATGAGGAAATCGACTGCGTTGCAATAAAAGAAACCTGCAGCGTAAGTGAGTAGGACGTTTGCCCGAGTTGATCAGACGGTTTGGTATTGAGGAAAGGTACTTTTGGTTCTCTCTGACCCGTGGGTCCCCACCTCAGGTTCGACATTGCTCTCCTGCGTTTGACTTCTGAGGCCACCCTGAACTCCTACGTCCAGCTGGGCTCTCTGCCCCCCACCAACCAAATTCTGCCCCACAACAACCTCTGTTACATCACCGGATGGGGTCGCACTTCCAGTGAGTGGATGTCGATGGATCCCGTCAGTGTCGATGACGGTCGCTTTTAAGGTTTAAAGCTCAGTGTGTCTCACCTTCCCGATTTGACTTTGCGTAGCCGGCGGCAGCCTCTCCGCTCAGCTGAAGCAGGCCTACCTGCCTCTGGTCGACCACAAGACCTGCACCAGCTCCGGCTGGTGGGGCAGCACGGTCAAGACCACCATGGTGTGCGGTGGTGGTGGCGCCGAGGCTGGATGCAATGTAAGTCTCCGCCTGAGCGAACAAGGAATTAGGAAAAATGCAAGTGGGAATAGAGGACTTTTGGCAAAGAGGAAAAGAGAGAAATCCTTCACAATTTAAACCTTTAATGAATTCACTCAACTATGAAATCTATATTTTATATCAACCACTGAATCATTATGCCCACTAATGTTGTTTCTATCAGGGGGACTCCGGTGGCCCTCTGAACTGCATGGTTAATGGGAAATACCACGTGCACGGTATTGCCAGCTTTGTGTCCGGTTTGGGATGCAACGCTCCCAAGAAGCCCACCGTCTTCACCCGTGTCTCCGCCTACATCGACTGGATGGACTCTGTCAGTATTGCGCAATTATTTAGATTGGAACAAGCTGTATAAAAACAGTGAAATGCTTGAATGGGTTTCGTGATATTCAAGTTGCATTTGATTTGTGACCGTTATTTGCTTCTTCTCTCTTCCAGATCATGAAGTGAACAAACGATTCTCCCGCGTTGCCGCACGCAAAGACAGTGCGCGCACAAAACTACTGTGTGTCCTCATTCGGCTGCACTCATTCGACAAAAAATAAAGTGTATTAAACTTTGAGTGATGACTCATGATGATTTCTCATGAGACACTTTATGCAAACCACAGTTATGGGTGTCATTGTGAAGGTTATTTCTCATCATACTGTCCTCCTACCCTGGACCAAAGCCTGTATAAAGGCACCTACTTTCATATAGCACACACATATAGATATATGGATACTTTATTCATCCCCGGGGGTAAATGTGTGTGTAGCTGTAGCGGGTAAGGTTACATAGTAAACATGAGCAGATCATATTACATTAAATAGAATAAATTAAATAGCAAATGAAGAAGGGCACAACAACAAGGTATGTATGTAGGTATATATAATATATTGAGTCACATAGGAGTGAAATAGAATTATGTGCAGTGGAATCGGTAGTAAATTAAATTAACAGCAGTGTAGCGGTGCAATAGTTTTGATATTGGTTCAATTAAAGAAGGATTTTGCTAACTTGTGATAACTCGACTGTGGCCATGGACTGAAAATAAATGTTCAGCATTGGAGGACTGCGGAAACACGTCTTATGTTTCAGAAGGTCATGCGTGTCAAGCACTATCACTGACTGTGATAAAGCCTGAGAACGACCACAGGTGTGTTTCTAAAACCCTGCCAAGAAACGCACACGGCACACCGTGTGCGGGTCATGGTTTTAAAATAAAAGCCGATTTCAGTCCTTAGTTTAGAGCTTTAGTTCTGTTTTGCTTAATTTTCTGAAAAGGCTGGCTGCTTTCCTCACACGTCTCAGAGAAAGGTCATAAAGTATGAAGGTGATGATAAAAAAACTTTACAAAACTTGATAAGGAGAGACATGAAAAAAGAAACGCAACACTTATTTACACACATGTCAATTTTTTGATAAACCTAGAATAATTTATAATAGGTTTTATCTATTTTTTAAAGTATAGGGATTTGGTAGGCAACCAGGGTACCCGAAGTAAAACCTTTAAATGAATATTCTTTAGGACGGTTAAGTGGGTTTTAATTAAAATACTAAATCATTTTGCTTTGTGTTTTTGAGATGATACGCTAAGCTGAACTCTTATTTTCTAGTTAGTGGGGGGAGTTTTGTTTATTGTTTTGGCCTTTGAGACCCTGAAGTAATTTGTTTATTAAGCTGTAAACCGTCCAATGAAGAAGCGGCATTATGGCATTTTGTTGAGGTTGACTCTCTCCTGTCTTGATCACGGCGAGTTTAGTGCTCGCCTCTGTTACGGCCATTCACCTACACCGTCCAAGTGGCCGTAACACCAATTACAGAATGAAATTGGGATTTCTCTCTGAGTGGATAATTGGTCAAATAAAATCATCGTGATTATTGCAGACGGTCTGAATTAAACTTTCACATTTTTAGAAGCCGTCGGCTACATTGAGTATCGGGCTCAAATTAAGGGTATTCAGTCCATTACGTGCATGATTAGGTCTGCTCATAGTGGGAACCGCACGCACGGGGCAGCTGTGCCATTAGCAGAATGCAAATGCCTCAGTTACACTGAGCGAACTCTTTCCACAGTTGAGCTTTGTCTTCTGTCGGGTTCTCCCTTACGTCATTGAACGTTTCCTTCTCACCTTGAAACACTGTGGAATCTACTATGAATCAAACAGATGTTCTATTCACAACCTCCCAGCTATACTCACTAGATTAACTATTAGCCGACAGAGATTTCTCACACTCTTTGAAGTTTGAAGAAACTTTTAATACTAGATGGTCTGTTTTTAACCTCAAATCCACCAGAATCCTTAAACAACGCTCGATGGAGGTTTTGAAGAAAAGTTTGCAAAAAGCCTTCAGAGTTTCCAAGGTGAATAGATTACCGCCAAAAAAAACAATACCGGGGTTAAGTAGCACGCACCCACTCATCTACCTCGCTAATTGCAGGTGAAATCATTTGTTGATGTCTCTTAGGGAGAAAAAGTACACTCAATGTACAATGACTGCCGAGTGGAGTCCAACAGAAGTACAATACACTCGTGTTGGAGACTTACTGAGACCTACTCGATATGCAGCCACTGAATGTGGAGCACGATCGTTAAGATAAAGGCCCTAACAGTGGTGATTACCACACGCGGCCTCGGTCAGGCACAAAAAAAACGTTAAAGAGACAAGAAAGCTTATCGTGAGGAGAGAGACCGGAGAGGGAGATTCCGATCGATCGAGCCGTCCCCGCGGCCTCAACCTGGCATGATAATTGTCTGCAAACTGCACCCGACAGCAAAGTCCCCAATTAGGAACTAGAGTTAAATGAACAGAAATCCATAAACACACACACACACACACACACACACACACACTTAAATCAATGCAATAAGGTGGTCAGAGAGTCGGCCATTTGTATGCATACTGGTGCAATGGGCTAGTCAGTGTTTAATGTTTGTCAGTTTCTTTTCCACTGATAATTTGACCATTTACATGTCGGTCCTGGTTGGAGTTAATATATAATGAAAAATAAGTTGTCCATTAACAAACTACGTGAAGCCGCAGTGACGATCTTTCATCTGGTTATGAAACAATCTCAATTGAATGCGAATTAATACATATTATTCAAAATGCAGGAAATGTTTTATCAAATTTATGTCATAAGTGCAATTTGATAAATCTTTACCGTAATATTAATTTTCCCTTAATATGCATTCCGGGGTCTTGCTCTTACATCAGCTTTTAAATAAATGTCTCAAACATTGTGTCCTACAGTCTCGTGCTGTCTGAGTCCATTAGCCACGTTTCCACAGCATCTTTAACAAATCTAGTGGATTGCCTCCAGGTGTCTTTTAGAATGCTAGATAACGATATAATACGATAAATACTTGCTTTACTAGAAACTAAAATATGAAGGTTTAGTAGTGAATAACATATCATTACGTACATGCAACACTCTCATACCGGGTAGCCGTGGGCTGTATAGGTGGGAAAAAAAAGAAATGCAGTGGCTGTTAGCGATTTCACTTCTGAATCCCCTCGTTCCCACGGTGGTGATAAGTGTGAGACAGTCACAGGTGGACATGTGTTTACATTAAACACACACACACATGCGCTATCAGCCAAAAGGGGCCTGAGGGTATAAAACAGTAGCGGGCAGAGGTCTCTGGTGCAGAAAGTTTTAGTAGACCGCAGACATGCTCCGGTTTCTCGTGTTGACCTCTCTCGCAGCCTTCGGTAAGGACCGTCTGACGCCCCCCTGACATTCTGCACTCTCTCGAACACTCGATGTAACGCTTCATGTGTTCATGCTCGGCTCAGCGCTGGCGGAGCTGACCCCCGAGCCCAGGTACCTGGAGGACGACGGCGTCGAGGGGAGAGTAGTGGGTGGACAGGTGGCCCAGCCCAACTCTTGGCCCTGGCAGGTACTCGTACTGCTTTAATTGACTCTACAACACAAATATGTATGTGAAAACACATACGCCTGTGTTGAGTGCAAGTGCACTTTGTGCTAAATGGCCCATTTCAGCCCCTGAAAGAAGAAAAATGATATAAATGCAGAATTCCAACGTTCATTTTTTGTTGTTGAGTTTTATGCAAAATCAACAACAAACTAAAAGAAAATCAGTTTTTTAAGGCAGCGCCTTTAATTTAAAATGATACTTCAGATTTATGAAGACGGTCACATATTTTGTGTATAAAATAAAATAAAATATTAACTCTAAGTAAGTAGAAAATTCTCAATTAAAGTGTTTTATTATTGTATATTATTGTTCTTATAGATATTGAGTAAAAGCATTTAGTTTACGACATCACTGCTCCAAAGCGACCTTGTTAACGTAATATCGGTCAGCACAACATACGCTCTGCACGTCCAGTTACATCATATGCATTTAGGTCTTTTGCTTGGACTCCCCTAAAGCCTTTTTAGCGTCAGGAACGCTGCCAAGAAGCGTTTTACTAAAATGTGAATGAATCACTTTCCCGTTGTGGTAACGCCCCGTGTTGTCGTCTTGTTAGATCTCTCTTCAGTACCAATCTGGCAGCAGCTTCTACCACACTTGTGGAGGAAGCCTGATCAGGAGAGGATGGGTCATGACCGCTGCTCACTGCGTGGACAGGTGGGACTTTCATGCATCACAGAGTATCTGCTGAGGCTAAAATGGATAGAGATATTATTGAAGCAGCAGGGCATCTGTGTATAATGACATGCATTCATTTACTTAAAAAGAACCAGACATTTAAGGCTGAAATTCGAATGGGAACGTCTCTGAAATTCCGTTTGCACGTTTTGTACGTCCACAGTCGCAGGACCTGGCGCGTCGTTCTTGGAGATCACAACATCAACTCCAACGAGGGAAGAGAGCAGTACATGAGCGTCAGCAGTGTCTACATCCACCCCAACTGGAACTCCAACAACGTCGCTGGAGGGTGAGGGCTACCGCTCGCGTTTTGACCCACTTCTGCATATAGAAATAGCACATTTACTGTCATATGTTCATTATATTATAGAAACGGAATACATTCAGTTATTTGAAAACATAGAAAAGCAACCAAAAATTGAGAAATGGCTTTTGGGATTTAGCATCCGTGAATAATACATTATTTTATTATAAATATTCACAATATTAAAAGGTTTGATTTACTAGTCTATATAGTTATTTACTGCAAGTTGAACAAATGGAAACACTCCCAATCATTTATTCTTAACTGGACCTGGAATACAAAATATATCTGCTGCTCTTTTGATAATCCATTTGGGAATTTGATGTTTTGTTATTTTAGTAATATAGATAGATATTAAAATAGAATAATCCAGACAATAATTACCAGAATAATCTTAATTGATTATTAATCATTTTTTACTGGCAGCACTAAACAAGAAACTCGCACGAAAAGGCAAACATCAACGAAAATGTTACTCACTGATTTCTGTGGGTCTTGTCCTCAGGTGGGACATCGCTCTACTCCGTCTGTCCTCCGAGGCCTCCCTCAACAACTACGTCCAGCTCGCCGCTCTGCCCCCCTCCGGTCAGGTACTGCCCAACAACAACCCCTGCTACATCAGCGGCTGGGGTCGCACCCAGAGTGAGTCTGACGTAACCACGTGATCAGCGTGTTCTGTGCGGCATGTGCGTGTTATGAATGCCAGTGAGAGGCTTCGCCGCCGCTGTGTTTGTCCCTCCTCAGCTGGCGGTCAGCTGTCGGCCCAGCTGAAGCAGGCCTCGCTGCCCGTTGTCGACCACAGGACCTGCTCCAGCAGCGGATGGTGGGGCAGCACCGTGAAGGACTCCATGGTCTGCGCCGGCGGCGGCAGTGAGTCGGGTTGCCAGGTAAGCCCGTCGGGCCTTGGACGCGACGCTGTCTCAGTCTGTTTCTGGAGTGTCAGTTCCTTCCACCCGCAGAGCGCGGTTATCTCCAAACCATCCTGTCACTCTGTAGCCATGACAGCCGGAAAGAAAGTTTGGATACAAGCAGAAACACTGAGTCGGAGTTCAGCCTCGCTCCTTCATGACAAAGTGGAGCTCAGCGTCTCCCACAGGCCTGAGGCCTCAGCCCTTCCTGTCAAGGAAGACATTTTGGAGGACATGAGGGATAACTTGCTGCATCAGCAGGGGCGTAAGTCAGTAACAGTGATCCAGGCCAGTGCTTAATCAAAGTGTCAAACTATTGCAAAGTGCATGTTCTGCACAAACCTGCCTGGAAGCTGTTTGATATCAGAGGGGTGTACAAGAAGCAAGCGGCAACGAGATACCGTAAATCTATTTTTAAAAAGGACACTTAACTCTGCTGTTGCCCCATTTTTGGGCTCTGGGGTTTGCCTGAGTTGTGTTTTCTCTGGATCCAGGGCGACTCCGGTGGCCCCCTGAACTGCAGTGTCAACGGACAGTGGGTGGTCCACGGTGTGACCAGCTTTGTGTCTTCCAGCGGCTGCAACGCCTACCGGAAGCCCACCGTCTTCACCCGTGTCTCCGCCTACAACAGCTGGATGAACAGCGTGAGTGTTACACACTAACCTATAGGATTCAAAGGGGCTCAAATGGTAAAAAATACGACAACCAGGAAACAGCATGATTTCAGTTGCATTAGTGTAGTTACAAAAAACCTTTCAAACGATTCCCATTTGAGTCATGGGAGTATCGAGTGTGATCACTTAATGATTAATTTGTCTTTGCTTTGCCAGATCATGGGTTGAGAAGAAAGGTGTATCTCCATGGAGACAGGAACACACTCTGGATTCTACTCAGTTTTTCCATTAACCATCAGAATAAAATGTCCCTGTTCATTATTCTTGCTTCCTTTTTTGTGTGGTGTATTTTCGGTGGTGGACAACAGGCAGTAGTCATCTTGTAATTGATGAAATACAACTGCAAAGATGAATTTATAGGTGGAGTAAATCTGTTCAGACAGTGGTGCTGCAACGTGTGAGATAACCTTTGGGTACCAAATAGATTTAAAAAAGAAACTGTCACAAAGGATCTTCAATTTCTGCTCTCAATTATGAGGTGGACATCCGATGAAACAGTTTTCAAGGCCAATTCTGTCTTTCAAGCAGCCTCTCGGAAGGATGCCTTATTCACAACGACAAATTATACAGTCCAAGTATGAAGGTTTGCCAACACATCTTCAAATCAAAATCTAGAAAAAAAACATAGCTGCCTAAAAAATGAACATGGACACAGAGGGAAAGATAAATTGGATATCAGATGAAAAACAAACATCATAGGGTGAAGAGAAGCCTTATATTTCTTATTGTAGCAAGAAATATAACATATATTACATTTGCATTCAGCTTATTTGACTTGTAAACATTCTCTGACATAAATTGTCCAATAAATAACATTCAAAGGCTAATTTCAAGACCTGAGATCCGTCTCATAGCAACAACAGTCTATCCTGTCTGTTTACCTGGATAAATAGCAAACAAAGATTTTGACCTGGGTCAAATTCCCTCTGGATGGACGTCCCCTCCATGAATATACATTTTCAAGTGATACCTTTAGGCCTCCTTGACCACCTTGACATACAAATTGAAGTCACGACAGATCCGTCTACAGGTACGCGTTTCAAGTCCACGCCGACCGTTCAGGTCGAACATCTCGTGCCATTTCTTCCGTGATAAAATGTTGCTGCCCCCCTGCAGCAGCAGGACCAGATGGTGCTGACGGGGGCTTCACATCCTGCAGCAGATACCTGTCGTACCGTCCTGCTGTCACTCCTACATCTGGTGGCACAACGACAGGATCTAACGAGAGAGAGGAACTCACAAACTTCTCTGAATTTGGGATACAATATTTTCAAGGTTGATTGTTTCTCATGTGCTACAAATGTTTGGTTTTGAAAGTAGATTTTTGAGGTGTACTTTGAAAGGAAGCTCTAACAGAACAATACAGTTGCTCTTGAGCTGATGAGTTAATCAGCACAAAATGCAATGGCTGACAACAGGTAGGCTGTTGTCTGGTACATTAAGTAGGATTTCCCGGATGAGTCGCGGGTCTCCACAGGTTTCTCCTCTGAAGACACGCTTGACGACGACCACAGATGGACTTCGTGCCAATTGAGCTTATCTTGTCCCGCAACACCCTCCTAAATCACTGCACACACCTCCAATTAACCAAATAAATCTCCACTGTGTGGCGGTTGAAGATAATTGTTAACTAATCGGAGGCTTTTCATTTTGTGTTAAATTACAGTTTCTTTGAAAATTCTTCATTCGTAATAGTTTAAAAAAAAAACATAACCAGCACGTTATCCACCACAGGAAGCATATATCTTTACTTGAAAACCGTCTCCTTTCAAAAATCTCTAAAAGAAACTTGTTCCTACATTAAACCGCTCACAATAAGGTCTGGGGATAAAGTCAAGAGACATGGCTGTTGAGTTTTTCAAAATAATTGTATTGCGCTTATACTGGAGATAAGGCTGATATCGACACAAAACTAGCCAACTCACACCAAAACAACATAGACTGACAAATAGCTCTAAGGGTAAAAGCACAAGCACGTTTCTTTTAATTAATTCCTACTCTCGATTGAATTCCAAATCCAGCTCATGAAGGTCGTCTTTCATCGAACTTCCTTGATACCAACCGGAGCAAATCAATCTTACACTACTCTGCCGTGGCGAGGAAGACGCACAGTTTATTTGTTCCCGAGAAGAGTACTGGACCCACGAGGGATGCTTATTTTTCCTGAGTCCTTCTGACGGGGACACAGTGCCATCTGGCTGAAGCCAGAACAACTGAAGCTGCAGCGGTGGTGTTCTCCGTTATCAGCCACAGGTCAGCGAGGGGACAGTCCGTCAACACTGATTAACGCTTCCTGCCTATAAATAAAGAGGGGAAGTCTGTTCTAACGAGCCGGGCATGACTCAGCACACATTGGTTGTATTGTCTATAGTGACTTAGATGAATGTAGGAAAATATAATTAATCAAATAGCACTCAAGATTGAGTCCGGACCCTCTTCTAAGAATCATCTCCCTCCTGCTGCTTCCCTATTCTGTTTCTACAGTCAGCTGATTTTGTAGTGACTAACTGCATGAAGCACTGACTTAAGAATTACAATCAACGCAGTATAAAACAATAGGTGTCAGATAAAAAAAAAAACATTTTAATGGGTGTTTTTTTTAAGTCAAATGATTTGATGTAAATGAATCTCAGAAGTTGATGATTATGAAGCAATACAATCTTTTTACACTGTGTATAATAATGTATTATTATAAATCCAGTGCACTTATTTACAGCTGAAGAACATAATAAAAACAATATATAAAGCATTGTGTTTAATGGGATCATGTACAAATCCTTCTTGTAACTCCAGAACTCTCTTGTTACGAAACATAAAACTTGAGTTTTAACATTCAGAAATGTTCATTGGTTTTCACATATTCAAATGATTTAACAAGAAACAATAGACTAGTACAAATAAAAAACATGGAACATGTACCATTGAAAATAATAAGCATTGTAAGTATAAATATCCGTAAAATCCCTTTTCAACAATTATAGCAATATATAGCACAGCGTCTATATACTCTACATGCTACACAGTACCAGTCAAAGTTTGAACACAAACTGTATCCAAACTTTCGACCCGTACGGTATATAAAACAACATTAACATCAGGTTATCAGGTGTATTCCAGCGTTACCGATTTGAAATCAGTCAATTAGATGTTCTTGTTTACACAATACAGGTTTTATTCTATTTACTTTTTGTGTTCTTCTTTTTTATTTTCATAGTCATATACAGGTCTTGTTTTTTAAAGCTAATTGTGTGCATGAAATCGTTCCGACACACACACACACACACACACACACACACACACACACACACACACACACACACACACGCGCCCTCACGTATTACTGTTCTTGGAGAACACATCACACTATGACCTCGATGGTGTCCATGATGGGGGAATGTCCAGCCTCGGTGTGCTGCACTCCACGTTGGCTGTACACCTGCTGGTAGTCTTTCAGCACCGTCACCACCTCCTCATGTCCGAACTGCCTGGCGTCATCGATCGGCAGGTTCCCCCACCTGCAACGAATACGAGAGAGAGGAATCAGCAGAGAAGTCATGGAGCATTTTCAGCAGTGCACAAGAATTCAAGTAAGGTTCAAACTTGGGGAGCATTAATTCATTCATTAATTCATTCCCAGTCTTGGTGTTATATGTGATTAAAGGAACATTCCGCCGTTGTAGATAATAGATCCAGATAAGTAACTAATCAGATTACACAGTTTGTTGCAGCAAGTTTCTGAATTTGCAAGAATAGAATAACACGATGTACACCGTGCAGTTTTCAACAACAATCTGGACTCTTCTCACATCAACGTTTTGGGGGGAAACGTACTGGAGTTACTCCTCAGGTTACTACCCACGCAACTGTGGTTGTCGCTCTGAGAGATCTGTTCAGGTCATTGTAAACATCAGTTACTTCCATCATCTCTGCCGGGTGTGAGACAATATGTGTTCGGCCATGTGTGTGACGGCGTGGGTTTGTGTGTCTGTCCGTGACGGAGTGAGTGTACGACTTTGTGTCCGTTCTTGGAGGAAATAACACTGAGAATGCCTCTAAATAGGTTTTTTTTCTCCTCAAGTAGGAAAATACGTCATTGATTCTATCTGAAAACCACATAAAACAGACTAGAAATCCATATATTTTATCATGATAAAAGGGCAGAAATATTTGGCTGTGAAAAAAATCAAAGTCAAAAGAAAAGAAACCAAAGCAGAAGTCATAAATGCTGTTCTCACCTGTCTTCTACAGATGGATCAACTTTGCAGATTTCAGTAAGGAACTTCACCACATCTATATGACCTGATGATAAAGACAAAAGACAACAGTTTCTAGTTTACAATGTGGATAAGTCAATAAACACAATCTTTTACTGATATAGCAGCAGCATAATATATTGTTTTGACTTTTTCTTCATTGAGGTTAAAAAACAACAACAACAACAATGCTGCCAAAAATACAAACTTTGGAGAAAAAAAAAATGATGCCTGCAGTCTCAATCCGATCCCGGAAAGATTTGCCCTTTTCATTTGCAAGAAAACAGTTTTCCCGTTTTTATCTCGTAAACAAATTAGTTGCTCTTGGGAAATGTCACTTGAACACTCCTCGAGCACAAAAGATTATAAATAATCAACCATATGTGGCCCTGAGAAGGTCTGTGAGCTGATTCGTTAAATACAACGTGAGACAAATGTGCTGTTCCTCCCCAGTTAATCAAACAAAGTGAAAACCAATGTATCCCTAATTGAAGCTGTGACCATACAAAGCAGAGTTTACCGAGTCTCCAACCAGAGAAATTGTACAAGATTGAGTGTTTTCACTTAACGCATTCAAAGCAAAAGACCGTAGAGGTGTTGTAACTTTGGTCCCTTAGATCTCTGCTCAGGTCGACGTTGGGAGGAGCTTCACTGCAACAAACTGCTGCTTTGATTCCTGTCCAACTTGCTCTGGCGTCATGCGCAAATAGGTGACGATAACCTAAATAACCAAGGTAACCGCAGTTGTGGCCGTTGGCACACATTCTGACAACAAACACCACGTTTTGTCCAAAGTCCTGGTTTCCTGCGTGGTAATATTTAACACATGTCAGCTGGTGTGTTGTGCAATGGACGAAGAACATAACAGTATTTTGTTTAACTGGTAGCTTACAGAGGAACCTATCCGGTGTAACTTCTCCCACCTTAGCAGGAGGGTCAGAGGGACGTACACGCCCACGTAACCCTCCAACTCAGACCAGGTGAATCCTCCTGTGGTGGTTTATCACGGGCACTTACAGTGGGGCTAAGCCAGATATTTATGTGATTCATTTATGTTTCATCCATGATTTACTGGAGTTCGTAATTGTCTTCTTTCGGATGCAGACGTCGGAGAGCGGATTTTTGCAAAGTGCTCAAACCGATTTGCTGCCTGAGTGCTTTACCGTTTGCCCGTGGAAGGGATTTAGTGCGGCTCGTTCACTAAATGACGGGAACCACAGATGAACACAGTCGCGTGGAACTCACCCTCTGCTGCAGAGATGTGTAGCGCCGTTCGAGAATCATAGTCTTTCAGCTCCATGTCCATGGATGAGAGAGCAAACCTAAAGGAATGAATAGAAGCACAGTTCACCAATACATTCAATATGTACAGAATATTTGAAAAGGAAAATAATGAGTTTAAAGTTTTACTCTTCAACGTATTAATATAAAACAACGAGATAAATATGTGAGATAAGTTTATCGACACGCAAATAGCAGTATGTATTTTCAGTATTGTAATTTCACAAACTTTATGGTTTTGAGATGTATTATAACAAACGAAATACAGAAATTACATCTGGGAAATATATGAGAAGCGGCATTGAAGCAGTTTACTATACTGTATGGTGTTGCTGTATGACGATGCTGTTCATTAAATTTGTCACACGTGAGTGATTTTCAGCACCCGCGCCTGGTGTTTAGGTTATGAAAGCCATCTGTTATACGGGACAAACAATAATAAAGATGGCTGGTGATGTACCTTCTCAGGGCGGACACATCCCCACTGTAGGCGGCGAACATCAAATTAAAAACAGACTTGTTCTGCAAAGAGGGGCGACATAACGTAAACACAGCGACACAAAACACAACTCGCAATCTGGAACAAACTGACAAAGCAAACAAACCCTGTCATCTCCATCCGGCCTGCGAGGATCCAGCTTCTTCACAAAGTGTCTCAGGTTGTCATAATTGTGGAAATTGAAGAGCGAAACGAGCTCCTGAGTGTGATGAGACACGGTACAATGGTCAGACGAGGAGTTCTGTGTTATTTCAGGCGTTAAGGCAAAGAAAAGTGTAATGCAAACGAAAATAAGCTTTCAGGAAAACCTCTGAGGCAGGGCAGCGATAGAGTTTACATTATGATGATGTTGATTTTTTTTTTAGTCTGACTTTGAGGATTGGGGTTTAATTGTTAAAGTTAAAGCCACTTTGTGTGCGATTTAAAAGAATTGGCTCCATCGAGTGGAAGTTTGAAAAAAACTAAACAACAACACTGCAGCATACGCTGGAAACAAAACAGATAAGCCCCCGAAATGATTTGATGCCATAATCCCACACACATGTAAAACCTCCCACCTGACAGAAGTGAATTCCACGGACGCTGTTTCCAACTCGGTCCAGGGGAGGAGACCAACACATCACGCCCATGACGTTTGGGATCACCAACAGTATCGCACCGGACACCCCAGATTTGGCCGGCAAACCCACCTGGGGGATGATATATTTGGGATTTGTTTCACAAAAAGAACACCGATTTTATCTCTGCGTTTATCCTGTGTCAAAGGGAAGGCGCACCCCCTTCCTTCTTTCACTCACATGAAATGCCATCTGACCAGAGAAGTCGTACATGCCGCATGAGTGCATGAGACTCAAAGTGTTTCGCACCGATTCGGCACTCAGGACACGCTCGCCTGTGATTGGACAGATCCCTCCGTTGGCCAGAGTGGCGGCCATGATGCTTCCTGATTCGCAGGTCACCTCGATGGAGCAGAGCTGAGAGCGAAACGAGACTATGAAAGCTGCATACGATTATAGATGAAAAAGCTCCACTCAGGGACGGAGCATGTTTACCTGGAAGTAGAAGTCCAGGGAGTCGATCATATCTGCTCCCAGCGGAAAACACTGGTGAATGAAACGTGACCATTGTGACTATGTGAAGCGTGACGGTCCAGGATTTCTCAACCGTTAAATAAAGAATATCTTTTCTTGGCTCCTCAAGTAGGGTCAAAGATCATTTGTCTGTTAGTTTGATCACAGACGCAACACAAGGCAAATCTTGAAATGAAAAACGTAAAAAAAATTAGATTAAATAATAATAAATATATAACTTGTTGCACACTTGAGTTCAGAACACACCATTTGTACACAGTGCTGGTACGCAAACATTACGACAGGAAGTCCCACATATTTTCAGCATTCGTTAACTGACCTTCTTCTCTTTCATGTAGTATCCGATGGCAAAATTTCTGTTGCCCGTTTCTTTTTCCGACTGGAACCTGAGACACAGACGAAGAGAGATCAATATAGAAACATCAATAATGCAACAGAGCAGTCGACAGGCAATTTGCCCAACGCTGTCTCTGCGCTCTGAAGATACATTAACTTCAAACGCCTCAAACTTATCTGACAACGCACTCACATGGCATTGCTGAATCCCACGTACTCCTGGCCGGCCATCTTTTTCACAAACTCCATGACCTGGGACAACAAACAGACAACATTTTCCGTGTTCTGCCGCATCTCTGACCGATGACACAACCGACCCTCTGTTTTGTATTCATAGTGTTAACAGAGGAGAGGAGCACGAACTTACGTAGTCAAACTTCTCTGCCTTATTTGAACGAGGCTGAAAAACAAAGCGAGAGGCATTTGCATGCGTTGATTGTAATTGCCACATTAATGAACCGAGAAGCCGACTGATGACTTTGGTTCTACGGTACTCATGAGACTGGGATGTGAAAAACATACATAAATGTTCCACTGATTGCATCATTTAGTGCCTTATTACCAGCGGGTACAGTACAAGAGGAAAGACATGCTGTGGTCGTAAACCACAGATAGTACAGAGGTAGAGTTCAGGGATTATTTCACAAACAGGGACAACTGTAGAAAACAACAAAATATTTTCTGTTATTTTGTGGAAAAAAAGCCTGTAATAGTTTTACGAAGCAGTTCTAAGATCAACAGACTCACTCAACAGCCTGTAGGCTATAAACTAGAACACTTATTTAAAATCTCTGAATTTCTATAAAACCCAAACCAGATGGTAATTTTGAGTGTGGATGCAGTGTTTGATTAAGAAAATACTTCAATTTAATCAAAGGTGAGTCAGAAATAGTTGGAGGATGTAAAAGTAACTGAATTTCCATGTATAGAACAATCAACATTTTAACATGTTTACATTTTTTAGTCAAACTTTAAACATATTTAATACACCTTTCTGTCAATAGAAACGCCATTTTATGAAAATAAAAAATAGTACGCTGGAGTGAAGTACAAGTGAGGGTTTGTAAAGTGTTCCCTCTCGCTAAACGCTTCACCTTGATAAGAGAGCTGATCACGATGGCTCCAGCGTTCACCATGGGGTTGTGAGGCTTATCTGGGGGAGAGCACAACGACATAAGGCACAATACTATTGGAGCCCTCTATACAAAGTATATTTTTCAATGTGAAGTGTGATATTCAGTGAAAGTCCCTGCGAGGTCACTCGTTTTTTTCCAACCAGAAGTGACCCGAGGAGATGGAGTTAAATACAGTCCATCCAAAAAGAGCGCCGGGGCTCTACACACCTTCATCGTCGAGCGAGAGCATGTTGAACTTGAGTCCACTGGGCTCCATGCCGACGTAGCGGTGAACCTGCTCTGTGCCCGCCTCGTGGACGGCGATGGCGTACTGCAGGGGCTTCACGCAGGACTGCAGGCAGAAGGGCTGCTTGGTGTCGCCTACCGAGTGCCTGGAGGAAGGAGACGGAGACGGTGTTTCACCTCCCACTGAGCGTAAAAGCACATCCAAATGTACGGCGAGCACCACTTCGAGTTCTCTCGTCCAGATTTCATCCCCCATTTTTGTTGCAAAAATTGTTGTTTTGAGATTGAAGGTCCATTAGAAACTCTTCACTTTAGATACACCAGACTTAAACGCCACCTCTCTTGATTCCTAATCCTGGATTGAGTAGTCATCAAAAAACAATCTCACTTAAATGTCCACTGAAGAGCTGTTCTGGAGCTCATCATCAGTAAAATCTATCTCAGCTTTTAAGCCAAAAAGGATGAGAACTCTTGAAGGGATTTCTAAATTGTTATTACACTTGAGAAAACTCTTATCGATGAAGATCATGTGACACAAACAAGCTACAAGTGCCACAAAGGCTACTAAACGGACCTAATGGTGCCCATGCGTTTGTCAACATCTGTTAGTCGTACCTCTGTCCATCCACGGTGCACAGAGACACACCCCACAGGTCTGGACTGAACTTGGCGAGTTGTGGGATGTAATCTGCCACCTGGAGCCGGAAAACACGAGAGACGCGCAGTGAGTTAAAGCAGAGTTTAACTTCTGCAAAAAAGGCTCCAAACAATTAATTTACAGTACAAAAGTTAAAGAAAGTTTTCTCTGTATTTGACTGAAGAGTGTTCTTGACTAACCACACACAGCAGTATTTCACACTGGGTTAAAATAAATCTATAACAACACTTGAAGCTTAAACAACATTCTACACTTCTTGTGTTAGTCACTGGAAGAACCATTTTTGATACAACAAGGAAGAAACAAATGAAAAAGGCATACCCGCCCATCCTTTTGCTTTTGAACTGTTTTGTAGATTTCATTGATTTTTTGTGCAAACACGTCAAACTCCGGGATGATGAATTTCTTTCTGAAGGCCTGGATCAGCAAGACGATGTTTCCCCCGACACACCTGAAAGAAAAGAACAGCACGACGCATTGAGGAGACCTGACTGAACACAACATAAGATACTTTAGAAATGACTGTAACATGGTACGTGTGTGTGTGTGTGTGTGTGTGTGTGTGTGTGTGTGTGTGTGTGTGTGTGTGTGTGTGTGTGTGTGTGTGTGTGTGTGTGTGTGTGTGCATTCGCTGGTCAGAGCAGCAGCTGCGAGCTATCCGTCCAAGCAACGTGCCTTTGCTTTGACGAGCGGGTCAGTAAAAAAAAAGACGATATGTCCTGACACACGCTAGCTAGAAAAAACACTACCTTCACACCTTTAGTTAATGTGGCTAAAGGGACATTTCACCACATGTAGTAACATTTCTAAACGGTCTAAATGCAAACACAAGCTCGCTTTAATCTTACACAGAGTTTTCTCAGAGATTCATAGCAGCTACAAGAAATTATGCTGAACAAATGATCCGAAGTATTAGATTTCAGTGACATTACTCAAATGATCAAATACGTATGCACAACCCAAACATGTTAACCTGTTTCTGAATCAGCCTGCGTTTTATTACAGTACCTTCATAAACATTCTGTACATGACGTTGGTTGCTGTCACTCGGAAGTAAAGAGTCCCGCCCCAAAAACTGCCATGCAGTTTGTCAAAGTCACAACTAACACTCATTGATTCAAATGATCACATCAGGAATGGGTCCAAGGTGCCGCGTGAACTGTGAGATCCTTCACATTGTTGTTAAACATGTGAAGGATGTCTTATCATCAGTAATGTGCTGTGTCAGTATGTGGTGGAGACATGGGATTAGAGACAAAGAAAGAGGTCATTAAGCAGCAGGTCACATACAACACATGTTTCAATTGAGTGGGTTGTGACAAAAGGTCAGACTAAAAATAGTTTGGGCTCCTGCCTACACCGGGTAGTGAGTGGAAAACAAAACACCGGGAGACGGCCAGCGATGAGACACGGGGCCAATCTGAGGCGCATTGTACTATAGGACGGCAACAGGTCAGAAAACGGGAAGTGAAGTAAGAAAAAATATCTCCTGCCAATCATGTGATTAAAGACAGGACTCAACAAAGTCAACATAATGTATAATCTGGAGGTGCATGAAATCCTGGGGCATTTGGTTTGGTTAAAGCGGCATCAATTAAAACAATTATCTGTTGGTAGAAGTCCTGTATTTCCAAATAAAAAGGGACCGTTTTTAAAAGACGATAGTCTTTGTAGTGAGCTGTATCCTCCACTCTGCATAAGTGAGTGCACTTCAGTTGCTCTCAATAAAAACAGCAAAGTCTGCGGTGTACTTTCTGTTTTATTGGAAATATATCTGCGGCGCTTCCAGAACCTCAAATCGAAAGCAGAGCTTTACTTTACTGGGGTCGATAGAGCCAGCACACTTCAGCAAACTGGGTTGAACCTTTCCCCTTTAAATCTGCAACCAGACACTCTTACGTTTCCTGCTACTGATTTGTCCAATAGTTGACCCCGTGTCTTACCTGTGGAAAAGGTCTCGGTCCATCATCACCTCTCCAACCGACTCCTTCACAGCCTGCCGAAGCTCCTCCATGCAGTCCTTCAGACGAGGGTCCGATGGGTGAAGGCCGGTTTTCTTCAGGGCCTGCAAGGCACAGTGGACACCATGAATGGACGGATTGGACAGGTTTTGGTTTGGCGAGGCCGGCGGGTCGTAAGCTACTCACCGAGGTAAAGTACGAAATGGGGACGTGTTCTTTCCCCTCTGTGATGGTGTAGAAAAGGAGGTCTTCCACTCCAGAGCTGGGGGACTTTGAATGAATATTCCTGATGAAGTGAAGATTAGGGCTTTTTTTTTTTTACAGCAGCTATATTTTGACACGTCACGGCTGGGGTAAACACCGTGATAGCTGATTAATTAAATTAAGGACGCTCGCGTGGTACTTGTGTGTGTCGCAGCCATTGCAGTGAGCCAGCACGCACGATACCAGCACCATGACCCAGTTATGAGTGAAACAGGATCATAATTAATGTTATTACTTATTACAGCACCTGCTTACTGTGTTTATCCTGCAATGACATCCCCAAAAAAGGCTTCTGTGACAAGGAAACATTCAACAACACCCGGCTTGGATGCAGATGGTTTTCTAATACCAAGGAGCTGGTTTATAGACATCACATGGGGAATAACCGCCACTTGACTACTGTTGCTAGACAGTATTCCTATGCTTTTGTTTTGTGTTTTCTATAAAACATTTTTTTTAAAAGCCACTGTATCCTGATACCAAGCCGTTGTCCTACTACCAGGGGACACTCACGTTTTGAGGTGGAAGCGGTCCGCGCACGCGGGCACAGGTGGTCCCCGTGACGTCGTCGTGGACTCGCCGGCGGTCAGACGACACGCTGGCTGCGCGGTGAAAACCTTCTTCGCCGCGTCTGCGTGTTTGGCGACGAGTTGCAGGGAGCCGGAGCGCCGCAGCGCTCTCAGACAGTGCATGGCTCCACTCGGACCCGCTGGGGGGACTGGGAGCAACGGGACCCGCTGGGAGGACTGGGAGCAACGGGACACGCTGGGTCGCGGTGGCAGCTGGTGGTCGGGGGTTTGTTTTTTCCAGCGGCTGTCGGGTCACTGACAGGAGCCGAAGTTCTGCCGCCTTCACGTGTCGTCCGTGAATCAGTTCTTTCGACTCCTGAACTTTTTAAAAATTATTTATTTATTTGCTAAGTAGCTTGTAGTTTTGAATCAATGGTGAAAAGTAATGTAGTTTAATATATAGTTAAGAACAGTTTTGAGGTAATTGTACTTAACTTAAATATTGGAATTCAGCTGAGGCTACTTTATAGTTCTATCACACGCATTTCATTTCTGAGGGAACATTGCAGGGTGGAAAACTTCTTACTCTCAGATGGAGAGCAGTATATCCCCAAATATTATCAAAAAATACATTGTTTTATTATTATGGATACAGATAATATTGTATTAATCCCCTTTACCAGACATGTACCAGCTGTAACTCTTAAGTACATATTCAAACATCAATAGTTCAGAATTATTACATAATTTCTTATAAACTGGGTCATTCATCGGGACGAGTATGACTGCTCTAACTGTTTGCACTTTTCAGTTCAGCTCCTTTTGCTTAAGTAACATTTTGGATTCAGGCCTAATAACAGTAGTATTTATATACTGTTGTATTGCTTGAGTGCTGCTTACACAACTGGCTAAAAAGTCATTAATTTGCACAATATTTACCACATTTATGCTTTTAACCAATGTATAAAAAGTTGCTCTGCAACCCGTTACTTTAGAAAAATAAAACTTTCGCTATCAGACGTGGAAGTTAAAAATAACCAAATATACGCCTGGCCATTTCTTACGAGGGTTACTTGAAGGCAGCAGAGGGTTTTTAGGATACATTACAAACACACCTCGTCGTGTGCCGGCTGTCCTTTGACTGACAGATCAGGTGGCCAATGGGGGCCCATAAGTGTATTCCAGTGATAAGAGGTCTGCCAGGAAGACTTCATGGTCGTCAATCAGGATTCAGTGTTTAGATATCATGGAATCATGACATGACCTCAAACCTGTCCTTTACTAAGTCAGGGATATTTAAGTCCAAGACAGCCTTCGATTTGCTGTGTAACAAATAAGCTTCTTGGTTTATTATCATGATCATCACCAGTTGAACCTTTTCAGTACATTCTGTCAACGTGGCCGAACTGATAACTAACTCAACTGATAACTTCAATGAACTGTCAACAACAAGCAACAGGACGTGTTTTTAAGACCAGTACTAGATAGTTAAATGTCAGTGAACTACATTGAAGCTCATCGTGTATGACATGTAACATATCAGAAAGGGAGTTTGAGGTAATTGTACTTATGAGATAAGACTGTGATTTTTTCATAATCAGTTTGAATAAAGTTTTCCCTTTTTGTCTTTTGATAAACAAACACAAAAATATCACCTGTGTTATCATGTTATTACGATATTGAGGATGAAACAGTGTGTAGTGCAGCTGTATTTATATTTAAAAGCTTTTTGTCTCCAAATTTCTCTGACTCACAAAGTCTCAATAAAACATTATATTTCTTTTGTAGGATATTTTTCAATTTCTTTCGTTTATGCACATAGTACGCTAATCATTGTATTCTCATCCGTATCAAGGAACATAAATAACAGTGTCAAAAGGCACAGCACAGAACAATCATTAAACAGGAAATTGCAGGATACGGTCTAATAGTCTAAAAAAAAAAAATGTTACATGCCAGATTAAGGGCAGAAAGAAAAAAGGAGCAACATCAAGTCACTGCATGGCCAGTATAGATAAGGAATACAGAGGTAATGTGAAAGGCAAAAGATTAATTTCTTTGTGGACCTCTGCACTGCATCGTCAAATAAAATAATTTAGTTACACGCTCTTTGACGGACGAGGCAGCACCAGCTTCAGCCCGATGTCAACTACACAGGAAGGCATGTAAGAGAGGGGGATCCAGAGAAGTTTGGCATCCCAGCCGGGGCTGTATCTGGCGCGTGGGTGGGCAGCGGTCAGAGCGTGCTCCATGCAGCCGGTCACCTTGGAGATGTCAGTGTCGCAGATGGCATTCATTATCAAACGCTGGACTTTGATGTCTGGAAAACGAGAACAGGTGAAAAGTTATCTTTTCTTTCTTCCACCGCACCGTATGTGTTTTGTCTAGGGGAGGGAAAGTCACGAAAGGTGTGGTAGGAGTTGGTAGCATCTAGAGGTGACGTTGCAGACTGCGACTGAGGTACGAAGGTGGGCAACACAAAGTCTCTAATTGTCAAAAAAATGTGAAGTATTTTTGATTGTACATTTCATTTGGACTGTCACTACCCAATTTTATTTGAAACTTGATGTTTTTGATCCGTTTCATCTTTGGTGATTTTTGATCGCCTACTCGATTCTGCTTCAGTCTGCTTACATTTGTCGAGGTACTTGTCTCCGTAGCTCGCTTGTACTTCGGGGCTGAGCTGGTTCCAGAGGCGCTGCAGCTCCTTCTCGAGCGGCTCCAGGCTCGTCACTGCGGTCTTGAAAAACCCCGGCTCAATGATGCACACGTTGATCCCAAAGTAGTTAATATCTCTCCTGACAACAGAGACGACACGTAGATCGACACATGACGGGACGTGTTCATAGACTTATTCAGACAAAGTAGTTTGAAAACAAGTTTGTGACCCCGGCTGCAACCTTTAAAATTAAAATTGGGCTTCGTTAGTTTGAGCGTAAAAAATAAAAACCCAAATGTGTGTCTTTTAAATAAACACAGTAAGACTGCCTCGTCTAATTATCTGCCTGGAATATCCAAAGCCAGTTAGTTTTGGTTATTACTGCGATTTATTCAATGGGATTTGTTTTATTGCTCCAAATTTGTGTTGTTCATTTTTCATAAAAAACAGCTTGTTGAATATAAAAATCAGTCTGCAAGCTAAATATCCCTCATGGAGAGGATAATAATACAGATATGATAAGATATAATAATAAGATTAAAGGATAACTGGCTCCGGAAAACACTTTGTTTGTGTTTGGTAAATCGCAACAGCAGTTACGGTGTATTCTCGTACCGGAGGCAGTCAGAAAAGGCCTCCACTGCAAACTTGGAGATGCAGTATCCTCCCCCGTTCGCAGCCACCCTGCCCAGCACCGACGCCACGTTCACGATGCGGCCCCGAGCCTTCTTGACGAGGGGCAGGAAGGTCATCGTCACGCCAATCACTCCATTCATGTTGACATCCAGCGTGCTGTGGAAGTCCTCCACTTTCATCCACTCTGACGGACCCATGGGCAATGAGCGTCCAGCGTTGTTCACAACACCCCAGAGTCCTACAAAGGAAAAAGGACGGACAAAAAGTGGGAGACGCTGTCCACGTGTCGCGGGTCTGCCTTGGGGACGTCGAAAAAGTCAGTCATCCCTTTGGTCATCGCTCACCCGCATCGCCGACCTCCTTCGTGGTCCACTCCATGGCCTTCTGGATGCTGTCCTGATTGCTCACGTCCAGAAGGACAGTCTTTAAATAAGGACCCGTCACCCTTTTCAGGTCGTCGGCTCCCTTTTCTGTGAGACAGCCGGCGAGCACGTGGAAACCTCTGCGATCGAGGTTCTTGCACAGCAGGTTTCCGAACCCCGAGTCGCAGCCGGTCACAAAGACGTACTTGTCAGCGATGCCCTCGATCTCCAGGCCGTCCCTGTACAGCCACACGATAGTCCACAACACCACGAAGGTACCGGCGATGTACGACCAGGCATTTTCCCTGCGCGAGAACGGAGGGGAGACGAAAGCAGGTATTTGACTTTGTGCCATGTTTGGTTACAGCTGCCAAATACAGCGGAGACCGTTGTGTGGCATCGTGAATTCTTACCCTAAAACGTCATAGACAACCTGCATATTCATGCTGCTTTCAGGACTAGAAGTGAGTCCTCGTCCCCCAGCAGGATTTAGTGCTTCGTAGGGAAAAAATGTCACTCAAATGTTAATGGGTAAAGACATGGGAAGCTCAGATTCATACGGAATTATTTCAGGAATCCTCAAAAAACAAATCCTTACTCTATTTCAACATATTTGAGGGTTTATGAAACTCTTCTGACAATTATGGGAAACAATGAGTTTGTTCACAGAGTGCCTTGAAATATTGAACTGCTCTGGGCACAAGAGAAATCTTTGGATAATACTCTTATGAAAGAAGAAAGGTATTTGTGAGGGAGGGTGCACACAAGCCGGCGGGGTGCCTTGTTTTGAAGCATAAAGGTTTTGCCTGTGACAGAGCTGCTTATGCTGCTCATTAGCTGAACCTGACCAATTAGTTCCTTAGCTGGATGGAGAAAAATTATTATTTTTTCACCTATTTCATCAATGAAAATCAATTTTTTTCTGCAAACTTGAGTAAATTAAAAGAAAAGGTTTCCTCACTGTTGATGTCTGCCTGGTAAGAAAACACCCTGTAAAAGTATACCTAAGTTTCTTATGTATACATTGGCATTTAGTTTCTCAGCACAATTCCTAAAATATATCAGAATACATAAATAATGTACATATTAATATAATTTGATCAGGTAAAACAACTCAGACTTAAAACCTTGATATGGTTTATTCAACTTTTGAAACTAATTGTTTAATTTATTAAATATGATTCAATAGCAACAGAACATTCAGGTTCATTGCCAATATCACAGAGTTTAACAAGTAGGATACAAATTCCAAATACAAGAGAATCAGAAAGTCTTTTGTTTTAATCCAATGGTCAATAAGAGAGTGAATTATATAAAAACGATACGATCCTACCTTTTCCTCTTTTTAAGAAGTGATGGAACCCCTCAAGTTATTCGTCCTCTTCCCTTTCAGGCTGTTCTCCTGTGTTAACTCGGAGAGGCTGGTCAGAGGGGCTTTATCCCTTTGCTTTATCCCTTAAGACAAGTTGGTAATCCACAATCCGTAACCATTGGGGTCGCGCATGTTTGCGTGAGTATAAGAAGGAAAAAGTGGTGGGAAGTACAGCAACAATTGGAAATCAACTTTTTTTTTTGTTAGGTAACTTTTCGCAGTTTCAGGGTGTGCAGTATAAGTACTTTGTTTTAAGAGTGTTATAAAAAAACTTAAAGTAAGCCTGCAAGTTAAAGCCTCGTGCACTGGCCCCCCGGTTCACTGACCTTTATCAGTTTTAAAGCTGAAACAATATGTGCAGTATTCTCCGTAACACCACCTATTGCTGCAGTTCTTAAAAGTTAGAGATTATAATGTACATTGTATTGTGGCTTATCAATGTTATCCAACAAAGCTCTGAGGCAATTATAAACACTGGCACTTGCTTCAGAAATGAATTTTCAAAAATTACCTTATGCTTGAGAAAATATTAACTTGAATAAAATGATTTCATACATTTATACTGCACCTGTTAGCGTGGAGCTCGAGTCAAACTGAAGTGTGTTAACAACTGGATCCCACTGGTTCTCTTGTCTTATTTTGCAGTAAATTTAGTGCAATTTGTTCGCAAATGCTTAAAATGAGTGAACTTAATGAAGCTTTACACAAAGACTTTACACAATTATTTAATAAGGCAAATGTGTATTCAGTTTTTGTACATAACGTTTCACAGTGCCTTTTGAAAGTACAAATGTAGCTGTTGAGGTTCTTTATGCCAACTTTTTTTTTCAAATCACAGCTGTTCTCAAACACTATGTATTTATACACACACACTAAAGGTCATAAATCAAATCTATAGAAACACAAGTGCATTGTTTTACTTTATTAAAAAGAAATGTTCCCTCGTTAAATGGTTACAGTGTACAAATACACACAATTTAAATATCAGATGCTGAAAAGAAGCCTTCCTAGAAAACACTTTTAGGAGATACTACAGATCGGGATGCAGGTGGCAATTTGTCTGCGGCTCCTTGAATCCAGACAGTTTTTATGCTTTTACTGTCACACAAATACTGTTAGTTATTGAAAACCCAGACTCATGTAGCCAGTTCTTTGACCAGGTATGGTAAATAACAAGCACATTGTCTGTTTCACACCAAATTTAAAACTCTAAAAACAAACCGTATCTAAATTAGACATCTTTCAAAAACTAAAAGGTTGTGTCGTTTTTTTTGCTAAACACTGCCATTGAAATAACACACATTCAATAATCAAATTGCCACAAATGCCACCTAAAGTGTTATTTTTTCCTTTTTTGGTTTGCACAAGTTTTGTTAGAGAGTTAGAAGAAACATTTTGTAACATGATAGTAGTTTGCTTACACATGCAGTTATTATGCTAGAAATAATTGTGCCCAATACTTTAAATAACAGTGTTTTAGTGGTGAATGACATGTTTATGTAGTTGAGTCAAGTGTAAGTTGGATTTTATATTTTGTGCATGTTTCCTGTTTGGTTAGGTCTGAAATAACGGGGCTTAGTTTCAGAAATTGTTCTTTAGCAACTGAAAACATTGTGACGAGCAGGCACACCTAGAATTTATATGTGATACCGTAAAAGAAAATCGACACTGACACTGTTCAAAAACAGATTGCCCGAATGATGTTGAACATTGTTGCTGAAGGTTGTTGATTCTTTTAAGTCCGCAATAAATAGATGCAAGACCTTTTTCAAACGTTCCTCTTTTCACAGGAGAAAGTAACCGTTAGCGTTACTACACGTCGGATGAGTCAAGCCGCTTGCATCTTTACTGATACCAGCGTTTCATTCCAGTGTGTTTAGCTTCAGCAGCTACAAACGTCCCACTGCAAAGTTTATGAGGAAGCAGACTGCAGTTGACCCTTATGAACGTACTCCAGAGCGGTGGCAATGGTCCTCATGTCCATCTCTATACTGCGAGCCCAGTTCTCCACATCACCAATTTCCTGGAAGACAGGAACAGAATTTGTTTCATTAGTGTATGTCGATCAGGACTGGCCACATGCAACCATTCCAGACACCTGACGTAAGCGGGATAATTGCAGCGGGAGTGGAAACTCATTCATGAATTGTTTTTACCAGCAAAACTAATCTGCCTATTAGCAACCCCGAGGAGGAAATTGTATGTTTCAACAGATCACTTTTTGCATCAAGACAATTTTTGTGGTACTATCACTTTCATTTGAACAGGGTGCACAGTGGGATACACATGGTTGTTTTGATTTTAAGAAATACTTGCTGAAGAAACCATAAATCCAACATTTAACTTAATCAAATCTGATACTTGCTGTATTAGGTAGATGATATGTGAGACCTTATATTGTTTACAGAATCCAACTTTGCATATTGCCATAAAAAGTAAGGCCACTTATTAATTTAACGGCAGTAGACTTAAAAAACGTAAAAGGAAAAACAGTCCTTATCGTATACAAGCAGATCACGTCACAGAAAGGCCTCCCGGAGAGCGCATCTTACCTTCAGGGCCTGATTGAAACCCTCCACCATACTGATCCACTGTGAAGTTTGTTTGGAGAACTGGCTCGCCTGCACCTGGAGAGTTTTCACCTCATGGTCGAGTTTACGCTGGTTTACGTATGCCTGGGCAACTCTAGAGTAAAAAAGGGAAAAAGTGAAGCGCTACATTACAGGTCATTTAGCAGACGCTTTTATCCAAAGCGACTTACATTACACTTTAAACCCATGGCTTTTTCACATTTTTGCCCGGGGAGCAATTAGGGGTTAGGTGTCTTGCTCAGGGACACTTCAACATGGATCATGGGGCAGCCTGGAATCAAACCACCAACCTTGTGCTTCCCAGCACACCTTCTCTAACCCCTGCGCCACGATGGAAATGTAATACATGTACATACCAGTCAGAAGACTGGACACATTTTCTCTTTCAAGGAGAGGGTATGTTCAAATGGCAAAGTATAAAAATATTGTTGCATGTGGGGATGAATTTGTATTAATAATTATAGCTTTATATGAATTATTGAAAGTTCAAATGTAATTTTCAAGGAAAAATAGCCTAACTTAAATATGTAATTCTAATAACCGTTAAGCCTAAAAACAATTCAATTAAAGCAGTTTGTACAAGCTTTAGCACTTTGCAGCTAGAGGTCAGAAAAAAGAAGTGACTTTCTGTTCGATGGGTTTGTGAGCCAAGCTACAATACTCAAGATGCTTACAGAACTATGTGCAATAGTTTAGGTTTTACTGGGACGTATCTCACTGCGTAGTGGGGTCAACACATCTCACATCCCACCACTGCCTCTCTATCAACTATCAAATGAAAGACTTCAGGAAACAAAAGCACCGACAGCGAGGGTGTAGTTGCAGAAATCTCGTACCCGACATTGAGGTGGTCTACCAGGGCTTCCGTCAGACAGGTAGCCGCGGAGATAGCTTCACGTCTTCGTCTCTCTGTGCAAGCGAAAACAAAACACCACAGACAAGTGAATCCTCAGCGCAGCGGTGTACACACGGGGGGCCTTCTCTCAAACTGTCGGGCTTTTGTTTTTAGCATGTTAGCACGACAGCTAAGCAGCTAGCCAGCCACTCACCCTGCTGCTCCTTCCGCTCATTTTGCTTCGCCTGGTGCTCCTTCAGTAGACGAGACAACATCTTTAGTGGTCGCGGGGATGAATTTGCTAAATGTATGTATTGTTTTAATCTTTAAACTGACGTTAGCTGAATAACATGGCTTTTACTAAACGGAGACGTCGCAGATGCTATCAGCTGTTTAGTAACGTTACAACGGTTATCACGGGACCTGTCTCGAGAGGGACAGGAGGGGGCGTGACAATAAATGGCGTCTCGCATGCCGCCATTTATCATAATCAATGTAATGTTATTTTCTTTGTGTTAGAAACCAACTCAAGAGAAAGTGTATGTATATCCGATTAGATTATTTTAGTAGATTGAATGGTGACTACGGTTTTTTAAAGCATGTAAATTCTCTTTATTTTGCCATTTTGTGATGAAAATGAGTTTCGTGACGTCAATATAAATTGCAACGTCATACCGTTATGCCTTTCAAAATAAAATACGTAAATAACACAATTGCCACTCCTGCTGATACTACTTTTACTACGATTACAGCCGCTACGACTACTTTTATAATAATTTATAACAATAATAATATCAGTAGTTGAAGTATCTTGAGTAAAATAACATTATTTGATAACACAACACACATTTCTTCAGGCGTTGGTTTGGTCATTAATGGCATAATGCCCGATTACAGTCGTAATCAATGTTGAACTGCACTGAATTGTAACCAACCTCCAAATGTGCATGTCCATTGATCATTAATGTATAATAATTAGTTGTGATTTCGTATGTATTTTATCGTATGTATTCTTTTAATCTGCACCTTGAGTCTGAAATAAAAGTTTGATTGATTAATGTGCGTGATAATAGAGAACATATTATTCTAAATTTTACAGCATAAGTTCATTGCGACCTGGTTTTCAATAGCTTCTCCAGAGCTTTCGTCGTTGTCATTTTCCTAAAACTGTCATAAATACACGCCCAAATAGCTACTGAGGTTGTAGATCCAATTCATGACAGTCAAGTTGTGCTGATGCATCAACATGGAAACTTTCATCCACCAAAGACGATCTTATGATTTTGTAAAAATCTCCAGGGAAGGCATTTTGATGGCCTGTTAAACGGGAATTGTTTCATAACACTTCTCTCAAAGCCAATAATCGTATCGTTTTTTTAATTGGTTACATTAAACGTTTTATTGTGAAAAACTCCTACCGGAAAGCCCGACCTTGGGTAGCGCAAAGCAAGGCTCTGGTGATGGCAGGCAGCTACCTGTCAACAACCTAGGCAACCTTAAACTGAATTCCCCGTGGCCTTTTATCGTCTGCTTCGGTCAGGTACGTTCATCCGGCGTTAGCATGTCCCCAAAGAGAGGGAGAATTCTTCGGCTGAACGATCGCAGCTGTCCGCGCGGCCGTGCGGCGTTAGCAATGCTGACGTTAGTTCCTGCACCGTTAGCTTAACGGTGTTCAGGACGTCGGCGAACAAAGTTGCCCAAGGTGGCGGAACTTCCCCGGTTGGCTTATGTTATTCGTTACCAAACACTTACAGTACAGCCAATGATACACCTTAGCAACGTAAAAACGGTTGCCTTCTAAAGGCTAGTGTTTGAAGTTGTCTTGACAACAAAGCTCCTGCTGGCTAACCCCCAGCTAACACATAAAGCTAATATGCTGCAGTTGCAACGCAACTGCCCTCAGGTCACCGATAGCAAGAGAGCACGTTGCCGTTGCCTGCTTAACAACCTTATATATATATATATATATATATATATATAGTGTGTAGTATATAAACTGTAACTCATCCCTAGTATTTAATATAACTTAAGTTAACTTATTGTCGTCCCAAAAGACATTATCTAAGATTAGCAAAGGGTTTAGTGAGTCTTAATTAATCCTAAATTAAAGGATGGGATTTTCTGTTATGGTCACATCGTGGTGGCTTGAAATAGCGAAGCTAGTTACCCATTTGTCACTGCGAACCATGCATTTTACTACCATCTGTTCCGTCTGGACATCGGAGTGCTCTCAAATCCACATAACTCGTATGTATAGAGTTGAACAATAATGCTGTGAGTTGTAAAATGCCAGGTAATACCACGGTTAAATGAAAATGCCATTGCCTTTCAGTGGGATCATTATACGGTAGAAATGTAAAAATCTGTCTATCGTTTTTAAAAACACATTCTATAAAGCAAATTCAGATGACATTTTTGGTGTGGATTTTATTAATTCTGAAGACATCAAAAGCTGGATCATACACACCCTATGTTGGGTTTGAAAGACTCATCCACCCATACCTGCATGTAAAGCCAGGCTGTATTTCCCAGTGACAGTCGTATCCTAATAGCCTAATCACTCAGTAAGTAGGTTACCTGGACACAGCGTCCCATGTTTATATCTGATGTCACTGGTTTCCGTTGTTGCAGATCCTTTCGGTGTAGGCCAACGCGGGTGCAGTGTTATGGATGAACCATGAAGGCCCAATTACAAGTCACAGGTAAGTTATTGGTTATCCTTGAAACATTGTAAAGCCTGTTTATCAACAGATTTGACCCTCTGATTTCTGTATTATCCGGCTATCGGGAGCTAATTGCGGTGGGATGTTTATTTCCAGTGTTTTAAGAGCTGTCACTGACATGTTGTTTTCAGGACATGGAAAATTGTGATCGTAAAATAATTCTGTGTTTTTTGTTATCTGCTTTACTGCTTCTCTAATGTCCTAAAATGTCCCATGAATTGTTTTATGCTCTCTAGTGCTTTCAGCCAAGCTGAAGGAAAACAAAAAGAACTGGTTTGGCCCCAGTCCTTATGTTGAGGTAGCCGTGGATGGCCAGTCAAAGAGGACTGAGAAGTGCAACAACACACACAGCCCCAAATGGAAACAGGCCGTCACTGTGTGAGTACAACTCCTGTAATGGTCCAACAGTTATCTGCCTACTAACTATCAGATTATGTGCGAGTTGTCCATACAAATATTATTATTTTGAACAAAATGTCACAGTCATAACATAGTTGGGCTTAGCGTTTTAGTTAGCAGGTTGGTTGTTGTCACCTTCATGTCTGTTCCTGGTGTAATGTCATAGCTGGGACTTTGTGTCAATGAGGTGAAGAAAATACTTAAAGGGCTGAATGAATATCTCATGTATTTGAATGAGTGTGGCACATGAATTAATGTCCCAAACACTTCCCACCTTATCGTGCTTCCTGTGCCATTGAAATTCCAAATAAGTAAGCAACTGGTGAAACATGTATAACACCTCAGGGACCTTTTTTTATTAGAAAATCCCTTTAACTCGTAACTTTAATGTGTTTACGTTTTCCGCCTTGAAGTTATGTTTTACAATTGCTTTATAGTCTCATATAAAACTGCAGTGATATCAAAACAACAACCGTAGACAGTGGCGCTCGCCCTGTTTAAAGAAAAGGTTGATTGATTTATTTTCTTCTTTTCTGCAGCTATTTGTAGTTGACTGTGAATTGTATGTGTGCAGACCCCCACCTAATCTTTCTTTCTGGTGTTGACTATCTATCCACAGAATTGTTACTCCGGTTAGCAAGCTGATATTTCGTGTCTGGGGCCACCAGACTCTGAAAGCAGACATCCTCTTGGGAATGGCCATACTGGAGATCAGCGAGACCCTGAAGGGTAACGACCTAAGACGTGAGTCAACGCTACTGTCCTTGCTCGTCGTCCTCGAGTGTCTTCAAGTCAAACAGCACTGTGTTATGTATCTTGTTTTAGCACCAGGTTATTTGCTATTTAGAGCTTATATTTTCCAGGCTCTTTAGGTTGAGTCGCATTAAATGTTATTAAGGACAAAATACTTTCCGTTTGGCTTATTTATTTCAGTTATATCTGGGGTTATCTCAGTATTTATTTTGTATTCTTATCTAACAGCTGCATAATGTATTTGGACACATAATGTATTTGCACACATTGTAGATGCTGCACAAATGTCTAAGACTACGTATCTGTTTGTTATGAAATTGCTTTAGTGGGCTTTGATACGCTTAAAAACCAACACTCACAGTAATCCCTAGGTTCTGGTATTTGGCCCTCATCTATGAGCTTGCCCAACTCAGCAAGCGCAAACCATGAGACATAAAAGACCAGTTTATGTTCTACATAGCTTCTTTGTCTTCATTTCCAGAGCATAAAAAATGCTCTAAGAAAGCTTGCCAGTAGCCCCCGGGGGCCATGCTGCTTTTTAGATCCCATGTGACTACCTTGGTTTGAGCTGACAACGTGACTAACATCGCTAAATTCCATTTACTGATTTAAAAAAAAAAAATGTAAGACCTCTTTACATTCTGAGCGTCTTTTCAGGTTTAATGTTGTTCAGATAAGATGCAATGTCAGTCTTGAAAATGATAAGCACCTGTTTAACACCGTATTCTGTACCCTCCGCAGTGTGTGAGGTTGTGCAGACGCTGCAGCTGTGCTCCGACAGAGACCCTCGGGATATTGTAGGCGACCTGTCAGTCTGTCTGGACGGCATGCAAGTAGACCCAGAATCCTTTGCCTCAGCAGAGAGAGAACGAGGTAAAGAACCACAAACGGACGCTAACCCAACATACTAAACTGACTACCGGAATAATCTGAGCACATGAACTATGCATAGATTTGCAAAAATATACAAATTTAGCCTCTATTAAGAAGCTCGCCCTTCGATGGTTGTCTGATAGTTAACATTATTAATTAGAAGAAGGTTTTACAACTTCTTTGTACATCCCATATGTATGGGGTGTATGTCGTACTGTTCATCTTGTACTTGTACGTATCTCTCTCACAATTCTTAAGTAAGCAGCAGTAACATCCCATGTTGTCTTTTTCTTAATCTAGCTACTATTCCAAATGGAACTGCAAGACAAAATGGAGACACTGGCAACAGGTTGAGTAAACTTATATTTCTGGGCCTACGTATACACGTTACCTAGCACAAATCTTGCTGCAGTGGTTTGGTAAAATAAGCAAATCTTTAATACTCATTATTTACCTGTGGAATAAACTCAGAAAATATCTTGATCCCCAGGTCAAGCAGAGACACGTCCCCGTCCAGTGACTCAGAGGAGTGGGTCATTGTACAAAATGGTCATCTCGCAAATGGTACGGGTTCTCCCTCCCAATCTCCAGGCGGCTCCAGCGCCTCGCGTCCTCCTAGACCGGCCCGCCCCCCCCCTCCTACGCCTCAGAGGCCGACGGCTTCACCGAGTAGGGAAAAACACGAGATATTAAAGATTTTACAATACAACATTAGGAACATTACGTCAGCACTTTACAATTTCACACAACATTAATTTAATGGTCTCTCTCACATGCCATTGATTATCTTTCAAATACAGAAATAAATAGTGTGTGCACTGTGTTTTAATGACTATTATCATACCAAATACATCTCTGCCATCCTCTCTCTCCAGCCTCTTCAAGCAGTTCTTCTCCAAGTGAGCTGAGTGAATGTCCAGCTTCTGATGGTTCCTCTCAGGCGTCGGCCAGTGGATGTTCAAATCAGCAGGATGACGCAGCAGTAAGAGCAGCAGCCACATCAACAGCCGCAGCAACAATATCGGCAGCAACAACAACAACGACAACAGGAGCAGCAGCAGCAACAGCAACAACATCAACGACAGCAACAACAGCAACTGCAGGTTCTTCCCAGACAGCAAGCGGCCCCAAACCAGGGACCTCCGCCTCAGCAGCGCTGGCCACAACGACTCCCAGAATCCCCCCCATGAGCAATGGCCCCTTGCCACCAGGGTAAAAGAGCACGGCACTGCACAAAGATCATCCTGTTGCCACTGTTACCGAGCAATATTTCTGTGCCATTGTATTATATATCAGAGTTCGGGTTTTCTATAAAGCTTTCTTTCAGTGACAGAATCCGTTTGCCTGTTTGGCTGTTTCTTGTCTGTACAGGTGGGAGCAAAGGGCGGACCAGAACGGACGGGTGTACTTTGTGGATCACATTGAGAAAAGGACAACCTGGGAAAGGCCCGACCCTCTGCCGTCAGGGTACCAACACAGTTGATTCATATTTTGTACTGTGAATTCAAAACATAATTCTTGGTATTCTCTGTTGGAGCGTAGCATAAAACGACAGTGCCGACATAAATCATAAAAAAAAGACGTGTTTTAATTTCTGTGTGCACAGTTAAATTCTGCAAATTACTCCGCGTGTGCTCCTCTCAGTTGTTAGATTTAATGACAGCGAAAAAATCAATCGATATTAAGATAAAATGTTTTGTTTTGAGATGGGTGTCATTTGAGGCCCTCAGACACACCTGTGATTTGTCCTACATTGTCAGCACTGCCTTCTTTTTGCTTTCCCTTTCATGTAGGTGGGAGCGCAGGGTGGACCCGATGGGAAGGGTGTACTACGTCGACCACATAACCCGAACTACTACGTGGCAGCGACCCACCCAGGAGTCGGTGCGTAACTACGAAGAGTGGCAGCACCAGCGCAGCCAGCTGCAGGGAGCCATGCAGCAGTTTAACCAGAGGTTCATCTACGGGGTGAGAGCAGGCACCGGATTGGTTAATGGATTGGTTTGAATGTGTATGTGAATTGTTTTGATTTATGATTTATTTTGAAATGATTTGAATTATTTGTTTCATTATGTGGTAAACTTTTTTTGAGTTTACACGTGTGGCGTCTTTACTTTTCGTCTTTACTACTTGTGTTTTTGAGATCTAATCTAGTTCTCAGGTTTAATATGAACACATTTTAGGATGACTGCATCCTTCTAACAATGGCTAGCATTTTTTAAGTCCCCTGGTTGAGGAACGGAGGAAAGGTTAATGTCCAGTCTGTGAAATAACAATGCTATGAGGTCAGTTATCCTTGCTTTAAAACGCTGTGACGAATGAGGCTTTTGAAGCTCCGCTTCGATTCTCAGCCCTGACGTGTGTCTCATTCTCTCCCTGGCGCAGCTCCAAGACCAGTTGGCTGCCACTGCCAACAAAGAGTTTGACCCGCTGGGACCACTGCCACATGGTTGGGGTAAATATCACTGAGCCTTGGACATTTGTTTTAACCGTAATCCCTGTGATACAAACCAGTAAAGATGTTTGCAGTGATTCCATGCAGATTTATATATATTTTTTTAAACGTGGGTGTTTTTTTTTTCCAATGGCAGAGAAGAGAACTGACACCAACGGCAGAGTGTATTTCGTCCATCACCCGACTCGAGCGACCCAGTGGGAGGACCCCAGGACACAAGGGTGAGCATATGCCTGTGTCTTCAGTAATGGGTATTTTGATACTGCCACAGCTTTTATTAAACAGACTCTGCCTGACTTGGCTGTAGTTCTGTTTTGTTGCCTGTAAGAGGCGCTAAGGTGTCAGCCACTTGCTCAGTTCCTGTACGTCTAAAACACTCGAGAGGAGAAAACGAGTCCTAACTGGCGTTAGGAGATATTAATGGAGAAAGGGGCGGGTCGCCTTTCTAACCTCTTTGAATTAGGAGTAAATGGATTTAACTACCATCTTTAACCAGGATATTACTCCTATCTGCTCCAGAACATAGCATTACTAAGTTGTCCTTTTAGGATTGTATTCTACAGTTGCCCCTGCAATGGAAATATGTGTGTATCCATTTGTCTTTTTTTTCTACATTTGATGTGTTTTCTGTATGTATTCAGGCTGCTGAATGACAAGCCCCTGCCAGAGGGGTGGGAGATGAGGTTCACGGTAGATGGCATTCCCTACTTTGTAGACCACAACCGGCGAACCACAACCTACATTGACCCCCGCACAGGGAAATCCTCACTGTAAGTTCATGTTCCTGTATTTTATGAATCCCTCCCTCACAGGAGCAGCACTCCATTCGGGTCACCCACCTTTTTTTACCAAACGGATACGTGTTCAGGAGACGGTGTCCCTGACCCTGAGATTGGTGCTTGTTGGGCGGACTTTTGAAAAACGCTTCTCTCCCTCTGTTCCACAGTGAGAATGGACCACAGATAACCTATGTGAGAGACTTCAAAGCCAAAGTGCAATACTTCAGGTTCTGGTGTCAGGTACGTGCTGCACGGCAGGTGTCGAGATGCTTTTGTTGTCTCTGTCGTGATTGTTGTATCTTTATCTCCAGTGCTCGCATGATTCGCAAAGACGAAAGTTTTACTGGCTTTGATTTAAGCATTGATATTTTGTATAAAATGCAAGTATGTGTTTGTTCCTCTCAGCAATTGTCGATGCCTCAGCACATTAAGATTAACGTCTCCAGGAAAACCTTGTTTGAGGATTCATTTCAACAGGTAATCATTTGATCAAACAATCTCCTCTTTTCCGGTTGAGTTTCACAGGTTTTGTTTAGTTAATGTTTGAAGGTTTGTAATATGTAACTTGTCTGCATTCAAAGATCATGAGTTTCCACCCTCAAGATTTGAGGCGGAGACTGTGGATCATTTTTCCTGGAGAGGAAGGTTTGGACTACGGAGGTGTGGCAAGGTAATGTCAACTGGCTCTTTGTTTGTACAATCGCATCGTATGTGACTCCTAAGGTGTGTTTGTTTTGTAGTTGTTGTTGACACCACCCTCGTATCACGACATACATTTTTTACAAACCAACTCAACCAGTACGAGCATTCCCACCTTAATCCTTTTTTTAATTGTCTCTCTTCCAGGGAATGGTTCTTCCTGCTCTCTCATGAGGTACTGAACCCCATGTACTGTTTGTTTGAGTATGCTGGCAAGGACAACTACTGTCTGCAGATCAACCCTGCGTCCTACATCAACCCTGACCACCTCAAGTACTTCAAGTTCATCGGACGCTTCATCGCCATGGTACCTGCATGATTTGCCAAGGCGTGAATGATTGCTTTGACTCATGAGGATGGATCACGTTTTTGCTTCAAACAGTTTAATGATGATGTGGAAATCATGCATTATGATTTAAAAGTGTCTATGATAAATTATTCTTGTGATTGGAACTCCAATTTACATGTGGGCTGACATGGGGCTCATCACTTCGTTTATTTGGCATTTTCAATGACAGAATAGTCACTCTCCTGATACTAAAGCATTCTCTTTCTTTATTAATACAATCTGGCTGTTTCAATTAATGTTTCCCCTCCGACTGTCCTTTCCAGGCCTTGTTCCATGGAAAATTTATCGATACAGGTTTCTCGCTGCCCTTCTACAAGCGAATCCTGAACAAACCTCTGGCTCTGAAAGACCTGGAGTCCATCGATCCGGAGTTTTACAACTCACTCATCTGGATCAAGTACGTCCAGGAGACAACATGCAGTGCGGCTGGTGGTGCCGCACTGCTATTTAAAGTGCTATTTAATTTAAAGTAACAAGATGTTGAATAATATCGTATTCGGTGGAACCTAAAGAAGGATTTTGTTTTTGTTAATTGATAATTGATAATGTCTCCTCTCCCTTCCCCCCACAGGGATAATAACATCGAAGAGTGCGGTCTGGAGATGTTCTTTTCCGTTGACAAAGAGATCCTGGGGGAGGTCACCACCCACGAGCTGAAACCAGATGGAGGGAACGTCCAAGTAACTGAGGAAAATAAGGAGGAATACATCAGGTACGGACACGTCCTCCACTGCTGGTCTCATACAGGCTGACTTGGACCAGAATGACACATAGATATTTGGCCATGTTGTAGACAGAATTATATGTAATTCAAGTATCAGCATTGTTCTGCCATGTGTAATGGCGGTAATGGTCATTAATAAACTAGGCATTGCATACTTTGAGCGGTTGTGACTGCATTTGAAATGGTTAATGAACATGACGTTGCATTTAAAATGAGGCAAGATTTAATACTTGTTCCTGTGTAGCCACCGCTAATCTTCATTCCCTGAGGTGTGTTTGATTTAGTTATCTTTACCTTTATATCTTTGTCAACAGGTTGGTGGCTGAGTGGAGGCTTTCCAGAGGTGTGGAGGAACAGACTCAAGCATTCTTTGAGGGCTTCAATGAAGTCTTGCCCCAGCAATACCTTCAATACTTTGACGCTAAGGAATTGGAGGTAATAAAACAAGTAGAACTATTCTCATTAAAGCAGGAAAAGTTTATGTTTTGGGGGATAGTTGGTTGGCTTCAAAGTGTTACTTCTGCTGGGATAAATCATCCGTATTTGGGATCTTGCTTTCCTCTCGCCTGCAGGTGATGCTTTGTGGGATGCAGGAGATCGACCTGGTGGACTGGCAGAGAAACGCAATCTACAGGCACTATGCCCGAAGCAGCAAGCAGATCCTCTGGTTCTGGCAGGTCGGTGTAGCAGCACACTTGGACTGGACTGTTCCCTAAAGCTCAAAACGCCATTCCTCATTCCGCACTCCTCAACCTTTACTACAGTAGATTCTTATTTCACAATTGTAGTGCGTTTTTGTGGTTGAGTGGTATTAACACGCACTGATCCGTTGACAGTTTGTGAAGGAGATGGACAACGAGAAGCGGATGAGACTGCTGCAGTTTGTCACAGGAACCTGTCGCCTTCCTGTTGGAGGCTTCGCCGACCTCATGGGTATGCAAAAGAGACGCCGGGTATCAGAGTGTCACTTTTGGGGGATAATTGTCTTTGTGCTTGTTATCGATTAATGCAGGAAGCAACGGCCCGCAAAAGTTCTGCATTGAGAAGGTGGGCAAGGAGAACTGGCTTCCACGAAGCCACACATGGTAAGGCCGGTTGTTCTGCTTTCACGGTCCTCTGACTTCTGGTATGTGGCCAGATGTCCAACCTTAACCCTTAATGACCAAACCCTCTTAGTCATGTCTGATTCAACCTGTCGCCAGCCTTCTTTTAAAGCCTGTTGGGCTTTAATTCGGCAATTAAAGTTATACAATTCTGTGTGAGAATTGTTGTTGGGTCTTGAGTAATACAGTTTGTTTATTTAGCTGATCTTATGACACATCATGTGACCTTAAGGTAGCAATGCCGTGAATATTTCCCACCAGATTAGTCAGCGTTTCAAAACCATGTTTATTTCATCAGCAATGTCAAAATACTTTCAATAAGCTTAATAATTTGAAGTGCTTTGGTCCATTTATGTTTTATGTTTTTTATATATATATATATATATATAAAAGCAACCTAAAAATGCAAGTCATTACACATAAAGTAAAATCTGTGTACGTGGGGAGTCATCTTGTTTCTTTCTCTTTTCTGTTTAGCTTTAATCGTCTGGACCTGCCTCCTTACAAGAGCTACGAGCAGCTGAAGGAGAAGCTCATGTTTGCCATCGAGGAGACCGAAGGCTTTGGTCAGGAGTGATGCGGCGGGAGATGAGATGGAGCAGAGCGGGAGGAGCCATATCCATTTTAGAATAGAGAAATCAATACTCCCAATCTCCTTGCAGCCGGGAGCTGCTTTTGAACTCGAAGATGAGCACGTAAATCTTTATTTTCTATAACATAAGCCCTAAGAACAGTTTCCAGCCGGAAGTTCATTCTTTCAACAAGACACCTGTGAATCCTCCTCGCTTCTGTTTCACCTCCCACCTACACCATGAATTCCACGCTTATCTAGTGGATCTCTCTCTCCCACTATCGCAGGATGGAGGCAGAAGAGGCGCCTTTCTCACCCTGTCATGTCTGCACTCGCTCTACGTTGCGCAAGTGCAGTTTCTATACGTACATCGGTGAATCTGTGCAGTGGTAACTTCTTCAGAGCCGCCTGGTCGGGTTTATGCACTAGAATTAACAATTTTCGAGGAAAGAACCATATTTGTGCATTTTGACTTAAAAAAAAAAAAAGGTTTGTATCTATACGCATTACGTAACATCAATCGCACATATATGGTCTTTTAGACTCAACTTTTATTTTTCTTTAGTTGAATGGACAATGTTTTTTTTAGACCCCTGACTGACTGACCGTAGCACATACGCAGTTTACTTATTAACTTTGCTGAATATGATCTTGTTAATTGTAATAATTTCTCTTATTTCGATAGGTTGATTTCTTAACTTTATGAGTTGAAACTTTGAACTAGTTTGCACATTATGTGAGCAGGAAGTCGGTCGTGATTGTTCTTAAGAGAGGTTGTATTTTTATGTGCAATAGTTTTGTAGAAAGCAATTTAGCCAATGATGGAGCCACACAGTGGTTTGTTTGATCAGTTTATAACACTTAAGTAAGTTTCAGCATTAATTAATAATTTAAATTCTCAATCTGACCATTTGCATGCTTGCAAGTGTATTTGGTGAAGCTGGTTTGGTTGTGATTTGATTTGAGACCTTTGCCTTCCTAAAGTGATCTGTGCTGTATATATTATCAGCCTGCTTGACCTTGAGGGGTCACTTCCTTCACCAGTCAGGGAGACTGAAAGGAGTGACATCTTTTTGTTGATAATTCTTAGCTGTTACTAATGAAGTGGAGTTTTAGGGTGCGTCGTGTAAAAGAAAAGGATTTGTTGACCTATTCCCACTGAGAGGTAGCCAATTCTCTGGTAGACGTCCAGAGTGCAGTATTATTCTAGATCAGTGATGAAGATACTGTTTGATGTGTTCAGTGACTAATGCAGTTCATGTAAATATGCTTACAGAGTAGACCGTGTTCACCCCGGCCGTGGACCCCCCTTTGAGTTGCAGGGACAAGTTGGTGATTAAGATTTGAATTATTGTAATATAAGTGGCCCTAGTTTTATAGGGTGTTCGGGATGTGTACAATAGTATATTAGAGTATTTCACGTCTTTTCCCAAAAATAGCTCCATTAACGTTGAACAGTGTTTCCTTTTTCTAGTATAACTTTAAGAAAATGACTACGGAACCGATCTACCAAAGGATTTTATTTAATTATTTTTTCTAAACTATTTGACTTAAAAGTTGAAGTCCAATGAGTGAGACCAGTTCTTAACAAAACGATAACACATTTCCCATCAGTCGTCACTATTAAGTTTATGGTTGTCTTTTATTATATTAGTGGGTAACACTGTGACACGGAACGGTCGCTCAGCTACTTCAATCGTAAATATAAAATCGGGAGATGATTTAGATCCGTAGAGTGATATTTTTTAACGACTTTTATCTTTCAAAGCATAACGCTGTGTGTGTGTGCGTGTGTGTGTGTGTGTGAGAGAGCGGGTGTAGGCAGTGTGGTGGAAATTAAATTTATATAATTTCTTGTTCACTGAACAATCTTTATTACACATTAGGTTTACGAATTAACCCACGAAGGAACCGTGTGGCTGTCTGTCATTTTCTCGTGTCAATGCAGATACTTGAGAAGAAAGAACCCAGTCGCTCCCTTTTTCACCTGACAGGTGTACTGGCCCTCAGTCAACACCAGTTACTGCTTGCTCGATGTTCCACACTATCTTACATTGATTCCCTTACTGAGAGCAATGAACACGCATACAGCTCGGTATGTACCTCCTGCTTTGCAGACTTGTGAAGAGATTTACAAAAAGACAAAAAAATAGGTTTGTAATTAATGTTTACTATTGAATATTTTAACATGTTGCAACTAACAATTTAGCACCTTGACACTCCAAACCGGTTGAATTAACCACTTCACTGTTTCATCACTGCTGTGTTCCAGCTCATGGAGCAGTTAAATGTATAGAAATATGCAAAATCGTGTTTTAGTTGTATTGATTGCATTGTAAATTATGTCGATAGTGTAATCACTGTTTTTGAAGCTCTGACTTTTTTTGATAAGTGGAAGTCAATGGTTGAAAACTATTTATTTGTAGGATGGGTTTCATGTAAGGACTGGAATGATTGTGAACAGAAAAAACGTAATTAAATGATCTAAACGCTGGGCTCCTGCAGGACACTTGTGAAGCGTTAATTATTATCAACGCAGCGTTTTTCACATTTGTTCACAATATCCTACACACAAGCCATTGCTGCTGTTTGTATGTTCCTTCTAAGTAAATACAAGACATCAATTATTTTGCATATTGTCACATCAGATCATGAATAATGTGCACTTCCCCAACATGGTTCAAGGAAATGGAAGAAGTGTGATTATTGCGCCTCAATACGAGAATGCTGCTTACACATTAAAGTAAGAGCGATTCAAATCCAAGCGTGCAATAAAACGAAGCGTAAGAGATAATTTTATGTTTTCTATTTTTTGGCATTACTACTTTTACTTTTATAGATGTGAGTGCTAACTGGTGCTTTCTCATATAAAAAAAATTGACTTCTGGATAGAAAATCACAGATCAAGTCAACAGATCACAGTTCAAATGTATTTCTTGACTATCTTACTGTGAGCATGGTTATTGACTTTACATTAGTCATTGTACTGTTTATATATTATGTAAATCCGAAAGTTACACACCAAGAGGAAAGCAGCTTGTGAGGGGTATGATAGCTGATACCTGTGTGGCAGCACGTGAAACGGGCGTATTCACCCAGTATTTTCCATTGAATTCCATTTCAATATTTGTGTCCAAAATGTGAATGTTTCTGACAAATAATTATGTTCCTTTGTATACTAGAAGAAGGCTCCTTGTTCTTTCCTAATAGTGTAACACTGATGGATCACATTTTGCCGCCCAAGTACTACTTTTACTTTTCACACTTTTATGTGAGGACACAAATGCTTTTTTACTTGTAGTGAAGTAATTTTAGTCTAGTGACGTGATTTGCTGTACGTTTGTTGTTATAGGGACGGTAACACATATAATCAAATTTAATCTTTTCTTTAATCTGTAATCTTTAATTTTAAAACACTGGGTTTAGTTTACATAGGAACCTTAGCTTTGATGCTGCACTACGGAACACTTTCGCAGTGACACACCGTATCAAAGTCTGGCCCAACATGAGATAGTGCCCGTTCGGCTGGATTGGAAGTCATGGCAGGTCCCGATCTGATTAAAACTCTTCTGTATACGGTGAATAACCTGCTGCAGCAGGAGAAGTACAAGGCGGCATTGGCAGTGTTGAAAGGATTCAGAAACGGCGCCGTGTAAGTGAAAAACTTAGACAAACTAAATGAGCTAATTTGACGTTAATGAAGTTTAACCCAACGTTACCTCTTTCACACACAGCTAGCTTGTATTTTAGCTAACCGGTCGTACCAGCTGTTGGACTACAGGTGTCTACCACACAGCTAGCTTGCAGCTAACAGGTCGTATCAGCTGGAGCTCTACAGGTGTTCTACCACACAGCTAGCTTGCAGCTAACAGGTCGTATCAGCTGGAGCTCTACAGGTGTTCTACCACACAGCTAGCTTGCAGCTAACAGGTCGTATCAGCTGGAGCTCTACAGGTGTCTACCACACAGCTAGCTTGTAGCTAACCGGTCGTACCAGCTGTAGGACTACAGGTGTCTACCACACAGCTAGCTTGTAGCTAACAGGTCGTACCAGCTGTTGGACTACAGCTGTCTACCACACAGCTAGCTTGCAGCTAACAGGTCGTATCAGCTGGAGCTCTACAGGTGTCTACCACACAGCTAACTTGCAGCTAACAGGTCGTATCAGCTGGAGCTCTACAGGTGTCTACCACACAGCTAGCTTGCAGCTAACAGGTCGTATCAGCTGGAGCTCTACAGGTGTCTACCACACAACTAGCTTGCAGCTAACAGGTCGTATCAGCTGGAGCTCTACCGGTGTCTACCACACAGCTAGCTTGTAGCTAACTGGTCGTACCAGCTGTAGGACTACAGGTGTGTTTGTTGGACCGTGTTTTGTAGCCGGTTTCCTGTTTGCAGACAGCACTGACATCGCATTAATGTGTTTCTTTCCTTCACCCCACATTTAGATATGGGGCCAAAATCAGAGCACCACACGCTCTGGTTATGACCTTTCTGTTCAGAAGTGGCAGGTAAGGATTTGAACAGTACCTTGCCATCCCAATGCATGTCTCTTGAGCTCTAATTTAACTTTTTTTTTTTTATTCTCTCCAATAGTTTGAAGGACAAGCTCAAAGCCATTTTGAAGGCCACGTATACACACTCCCGCAACCTGGCGTGCTTTGTGTTCACTTACAAAGGACTGCAAGGCTTGCAGGAGAGATGCCAGGGGAAAAGACTGCAGTCTCACTCCTTTCTGGCCGCCTGTGTTGGCGGGTGGTTAGTGTTTGGAGATAACAACAACATCAATAGCCAGGTATATGCCCCGTAGACCAAAAGTCACATTTGCTGTAACCCTCAATCCTGTCCGTACATTAACTCAAGACTGCTCAGGTGTTCAGTCACTTACAACCCCTCTGCTCTTCTCTAGATTAACATGTACCTGCTGTCTAGGATCCTGTTCGCCCTCTCTCGGCTGGCCGTGGAGAAAGGACTCGTCCCCCAGCCTAAACGTGACCCGTTCCCCCTCTTTGCCACGCTAGTGTGGGGCATTGTCTTGTGGTTGTTTGAGTTTTACCCCCACACCCTCCAGCCCTCTCTGCAGTCCTCCATGAACTACCTCTACCACGACAGCAATGTGTGGCATGACATAACAGACTTCCTTGTTTATAATAAGCCAAGGACTGCTGCTTAGAAATTACGTCATGTTATTTAAAAAAGTGATTTTATTGACTAGCTCTCTATAATTAATGAATACTGTTTCAACAATGAATGATGAACAATGCTTTTTTTTTAATTGACTATTGGATGATAGTATACTTTTTGTTGTTGCAAATTCATTGAAGTATGTTCATCTTTTTGAAATACTAATATATTTGCATACCGTTATTGTTATTGGACTAAACAGATTTAAAGGAAAAATGGGTTACCATTTTATCTGGAACTCTAATCAGTGTTTAAGTTGAATGTATTCCATTGAAGAAGTCCTGCTGGTCGGTCTGTGCAGGAAGTGTTTTCATGTTCCACAATCTATTGTACCTGAACTTGTGACGCCCAGCCAGATGTAGTAGAGCCAAGTTGTGCCTATACTTATGCATATTATAAAATTAAACTAATCTAACGTGTGCCAGCTGGCTGCCCAGAGACTAGCTAAAATAGCCTGTAGCTGCTGTACCACGACCTTGTCATTAGCAAGTTAAATGTTGTTGCTGGATGAAGGAACAATCTATTTTAGCCAGCGAACTGCAGGTCTTTTCACATTATGATCCATACCTAGATTATTGAAAATTTGCTCATTGTCCTTGACTATCAATACCTAGATCTACCTAGTATTCATTCTGCTGATATTTCCTGTGATTGTAGAATCGTCTGATTTTTAGTTTCCGGAGGTATGTCACTTAATACAGTTGCCACAGAAAAAAAACGTATTTAAAAACAAACATTTCATTGTCATGCGTGATTGGTTGATTAAAATGTTTTACAAAATGTACTAATTATTACGTTTAAAAACTGAAAGCGTGGCATCATTATAGAATATTTAGTGATGACCGGCTCTAGCCAAACTTGAGTCCGGTTTATTCTTTAAAGGCTTAATAATCATTAATTATTAAGTGACCTTTGTTGCCTTACACTGCAGTACAGGTTTCTGTGTGATTCATTTTTCAAATACTTTCATTCTACTTTCTGCTATTCATTCTAAGGGAGAAATATTGTTTTTAAAACACCAACTGGAAATACCTATCAGTTTATAATACATAATATTGAATAAATGTACCCAACAGTATCTAGAGGAAGTTAAATTAGCTTTGCCATGGCCAGCTCCAGCAGAAGGACAAACAAATGTCCACAAACAATGAGGTGAATGCTTTATCAGCTAATTTTCTTCTCCATTAGACTCTTAGTTACCAAGCAACCATGGTGACGTTGTATTAAAGTTATTTTTTTCCCAGATGTGGAGTGATTCTCAAGGTGCACAGGACATCATGGTACTATTGTGTGGGTATTGCATCACAGCTGTGAAAGAATCCCGATTTCTTAACTTGATTTACCAGTTTCATCCTCAAGGAACCACGACTAAGGGTCATAAGATGTCATAGCAATCCGTCCAATATTTCAGTCTGCACCGAAGGCTTGGACCGACGCCGTCTTTCTCAGAGCTCCGCAGCCAGCGGCTCAAAATCCTGGAATTCTTCTTTGTGCCGACTAAGACACCAGCTACGGAATTAAAGCCACTATCCTTGTCGTGGCCTCAAATTGATATTCATTCTCCAAAAATGTGTTCCGCTCATTGTGTTGTACATACCTGTCATTTTCAGTGGGTGAGTGTTCCGGAAGTTGAGCACCATTTACGCAATAAACCCTTTTCTCTTTTAGACAAGTCTCAACATCCACGGGAACGTCAACCACCTGCACATGAACTCACATGCCCTTTTTTATGGGGCCAGAGTCACTCTGTCACTGTTTAACATGTCATGGCTGGCGCATAAAAATAATAGTATAAGTCAAACAAATGGATCGGAGGAATCTTTTGAGTCAATAGTGTCGGGTGAGGGTTTTTGAGGATGTGCTGCATGAGCCCAGTGCATAAGACGTTTAAAACCATTAAAGCCATATAAACTAATTTAAAAAAAGTAAAAATATCAGGTTCAAAGCGGACGACAAAGCCCAGGACTTTCTGAAACTGCTCTTTATTCATTTTATCCAGTCTGGTATTTCTAGAAAGTCTCTGACCCTAAATACCCCAAAACCCTGAATCACTCGCGGCAGCTTGAGTTGGAATCTGGTTTACACAATGATCAAGATGTGTTGCACGATGCCAAACTAATCCCACAATATGAAAAAAAGAGTGACAGTGAGAGTTCTCCCACTGCATGAATAGATTAAAGCCGCAACCAGCTCACTTTTCACGACTGACGCATTACACCACCTAGCGTGTGTCCACGCCCAACAGACCATCGCTGTCATATCTGTACATCCATGGAACTGGGTGAGTCTGCTTTCTTACCTAATGAAGGCTTACTTTACGCATGAAACCAGGCAGAGAGGGGTGTATCATTTCTGTTTTGATACACATGACTTGATGGCCTCAAACTGGTTTGTCTCAATTGTTACCATAGTAACAATTGAGACAAACCAGTTTGATTCGAGAGAACCGCCTGTTATGAAATGTTACCCCACCCTTTCCGAAGGCGGTGCAAGCGTTTATATAGCAGCAGAGAGAGAGAGAGTCAGCAGAGATACAAAGCATTGCAATCAAGGAAAAGAATCTCCGACCGATGGCGGGTGAGATTTGCCTTCAAAGAGTACACGTGATAAAAAAAATGTCTCTTCTAGTTTGCCTCCATTTCTGTTTTAACCGCTTCTAACGTCTTTATTTCTTTCCCTCCCTCGCTCACAGACTTGAAAATACAAAATGTCAACATGGAAAAATCTGAAAACCTGCAGAGCCACAGGACCGAGGGCTTCAGCAGCTCTGAAACCTTGGTGGTGCGAAGAGGAGCCCCACTGAGGATCAGCCTGCAGCTGGAGGGCCGGCCCTTCGATCCCCAGACCGACTCCCTGAGGATCAAAGTCATGCTAGGTACTCACACGTTTACATCGCCGGGCATGAACGGCTGCTGTGTGAACACCGGCCTCTACGCCGAAAAGTAAAATCCCTCCCCTTAATGGTCCCTCTTCTCCTCCTCAGGCCGCTTGTACGTGGTGATGCCGGTCACTTTCCCCATGAACGCTTCTTCCTCAGATTGGAAGGCCTATTTTGACCCGAAGGGCCTGAACCTCCAGAAGCCGTCCATTCTCCTCTCCTCCCCGGCCTCCGCCCCGGTGGGATGCTACGGACTTCAGCTGTGTGCGTTTTCTCAGGGCGGAAAGAAGACCTTCGCGTTCAGCAGATTCGTCCTGCTCTGCAACCCCTGGTGTCGTGGTGAGTAAGCCCAGTGAGGCGATCGGGAGCTTTTAAGTATACTCGGTGTCTCTCAGACGCGACCCGGCTATTACAGGTGGGTCCATTGGGGAAATTCTGAATAATTTCATTTGAAGAACTATGTTGAGAACTTCCCATATTGCTAAAGTGAAAAATACAGGGACTGCTGTTGCCTCTCTCGACACTAAATACAGATCCAAGCTCAACGTTGAGCACGAATTGAGAGGTCGTATCAAGTCTGCAACCTTGTTATGAAAAGATTTGTAGTGGAAAGCAGACTCATTGCGGCCAAGTCGGATAAAACATGATATATGAGTATTAGATGCCTCATACTTATCTGTTTTTTATAGGTTGCATTTTATTGTTATTATCTTGAAAATATGTTCAGTGCAGGTTAATTAAATCAAAATATTTGACATAAAAAGCTATGGAGGAGCCACAACATGTTATTTCAATAAAAATTCAACATATACAACTTTGTTGGGGCGCTGGGTCATGAACATTTTTTCATTCCACCAAAGTGGGTCGTGACAGAAAAAGTTTGAGAACCACCCAGTTAATTCAAAGAAGCATTGCATTATAATTATGTATTGAATCCTTCATCACCTTTAATCACTTATTCATCCTTTTTATGGGCGTCTTGTCGCGACAGAGCAGTGTTAGTCATGCCACACAGGTGAATATACGGCACAACAACTCAGATTAAATGTCTGGCGCCAGCTTTAGGTGACGAAGAAAGAAACATATTATGTGTTATCAAATGTCCGTGCACAGGAGTGTGCTTAATGTCTTTTTGTGTTTCTTGCAGAGGATGCTGTATATATTCCCTTCGAGGACCAGAGAGAAGAGTACATCCAGAACGACTCTGGGCTGCTGTTTAAAGGAACATCCATTAATATTGTGTCAAGACCGTGGTCCTTTGACCAGGTACTAAAAAAAAAAAACACCTTTTAATCAAAGCTTTTCAAAATGTTCAGTTAGAAGAAGACAATGTTATTTGCAGGCCGAGGTGCTGACTCCATGTACACACTGCGTACTAAACCTGACTTTGCATGCACATATCAAGCAGTACTGAACAAGGGAAGAATATAATTGTCACTAACTCATTTCTGTCTCTCCACCTGTGCAGTTTGAGCCCGGTGTCCTGGAGGCTTCCCTGAATCTGCTCCAAGTCAGCCCGCTGCACCAAAGGAACAAAGAAGAAGACTACCTGAACAGAAGCAACCCCGTCTACATCGGCCGGGTCGTGTCCGCCATGGTGAGTGTTCAAAGACTCTAAACACATCGTGAATATGTAAAGTTCCGATTTTATTCATTATGTTTTTATTTACTTTGTGTTATTACGAGCATGTTGAGGCTCGGGTCAGTACACTGAGACCCGCAGATAAACGCACACCGTCTGCTGCAGAACACAGTCTCACAGTTATTCCAGCAAAAACATTTGATGGGACTAATCTGTCATCGCCTCTCCGACCTTCAGATCAACAGCGAAGACGACCGCGGCGTGCTGAAAGGGAAATGGGAAGGGGACTACAAGGACGGCGTGGACCCCTCCTGGTGGACTGGCAGCGGGGACATCTTGAGGCAGTGGGCCGAGTCCGGCTACAGACCCGTCAAGTACGGACAGTGCTGGGTGTTTGCAGCCGTCATGTGCACAGGTGATTACATCAGGATGCATCCAACCCTCTTTTTTTTTTCATTACCCCAAGTACTTAATGACGTCAGGATGTTGTAGACGCACATCGTGTTTTCCGTTGCGCAATGTTCTGGCTCAGCGTGTTCTGAACGTCTGCTTTCTTCTTTTTTTTTATTACTGCCGCCAGTCATGAGAGCTCTCGGCATTCCCTGCCGCGTCGTCACAAACTTCAACTCTGCCCACGACACCAACGGCAACCTGGTGATCGAGGAGTTCTACAGCGAAACCGGGAAGAAACTGAACCGCAGCGCGGACAGCATATGGTCAGTGGCGACCCGCCTTTTCCTTCTGAGGGGCGTTTAAGACCTTTGTTTGGTTTTGAAAAAGCAAGTCTGTTCGTGCTTTGTGACGGTATTTTCTCTTTGCAGGAACTTCCACGTGTGGGTGGAGTGCTGGATGACCCGCCCGGATCTAGGCTCAGGAATGGATGGCTGGCAGGCCCTTGACCCGACCCCCCAGGAGAGGAGCGGAGGTGTGTGTGTGTGTGTGTGTGCGTCCTCCTTTGTTCGCTATCGAACTTGTTCCTCGACAAACATGGCCGTGACCTCGCTTACCCCCCCCACGTTGTCCCGTTCCAGGAGTGTTCTGCTGCGGCCCGGCACCAGTCGCAGCGGTCAAGGATCGGCGCATCGACCTGCTCTACGACATCCCCTTCGTCTACGCCGCGGTGAACGCCGACATCCACACGGTCATAGTGAGCAAGGGTCAGGTGATCCGCTACAGCACGGACACGGAGAAGGTGGGATCCCTCATCTGCACCAAAGCGGTCGGCCTACCGAGACCCCAGAACGTCACAGGAGACTACAAACACATCAAAAGTACAAGCCGACAAAGTGAGATTCGTTCACCCGGCGGACTAATACTCGCTCTCAGGCATGAATGCTTACTTTTTTTGATCTTCGCAACTCAGGTCCGACTTCAACACTTTCGTCGAGACATTCCACGATATCAGAGGCCTCAACACTAAGCAGAGGTAATTTAGGCCGTTGAACACAATAATTCGCCCGACCGACCGGTCGTCGGTCCGAGCGCGTGTCATCTCACGCTCTGGCTCCTTTTCACAGGCTCATCCCGAGGAGTGTTGGTGCTCCTGTCCCTGGACAAAGCTCCCGTTGCCGGGGAACCCGTCCTCTTCACGGTGAAGGTCATCAACAAGCAGAGGGTGGCCAAGGCGATGAAGGTGCATGTGAACGCCCAGGCCAAAGAATACAACCACAGCGCATCAGAAACCATCTGGGAAAACCACGGCGTCGTACAGCTGGCACCCATGGAAGGTTGGTTCACTTGTTCACTCAACTACAGACTCGACGCGCTTTCCCGTCCCGAGAGACTTTTGGTTTGAATTCCGTCCTCTTTCTGCAGTCAAGTTGATTCACCAGCAGATCCCCCCGGCCCAGTACGAGATCGTGGGGGGGGAAAACCTGATCAACCTCGCGGTGGTCCTGGAGGACTTGGCCAGTCATGAGCAGGTCCTGGCCTCAGAAGAGTTCAACATCGCCAGCCCACGGCTCACCATACAGGTATTGCATTTCAAAGCGTTCAAATATGCATAACTTTGATTTTATTTTTTGCAAAAATCTTCTGTGCAACTGTTAAACTTAACATTCAACACACTTCAGAGTTACACAGATTACAATTAAGCTACTGTTGCACTGTTCAAGCTCCATTCCTATCATGAGAAGTGGGATTTTAAGTTATTTGAAGGGTTCACTAACTCACTTTTTCCCATCAGGTTGAAAACGAAGACTCCATTGTACTTTACAAAAAGCAGGCGGCCATTGTGACTTTCACCAACTCATTTGCCCACCCGGTGAGCGGGATACTGACCGTAGCTGGGGCCGGGCTGATTCAGGGAAAGGTCCACTTCAGGTGAGAAGGATCGATTTTCAAGCGACAGGTTGAACCACTTCAGCGATGTGTGCACTTCATGAACCGCTGCGAAGGCAGGAATGTTCGAGTGTATAGGAGTGCCACAGTTAAGTCACAGTGCTGTACGTGTCTGTTGAAGGAATTTCGGCTTGTTATTGTATTGTTCTGCCTATGTTTGCCTTCAGGTGGCACGGCGAGGACAAACTGAATGTTCCTCTGCCGTGCTGTCATCAGGGCTGATAATTACCTACAGGCTTTGAAGTTTTACTTTGGGCGGCTCGAGAACAAGGGGCGTTTGATTGGCGGTGGATAAAAATAGAATCTTGGAATGTTCACACAGTTCTAGTTGCAGGATCGCTGTCATAAATCAAATCGGGTGGTGTTCCGGTGTCTGCAAACTCTCACACTCTGTGAACCTGTGCGTCCTCTTGTCTCCTCCCGCAGGATGCTCGCTGTGCGTCCAGGCAGCAGCGTGTCGCAGCGCATCACCTTCATCCCCAACATGGTGGGAACGAAGATGCTGCAGGCCAGCCTGCCGCTCTCAGACACCAACTCCACCATCACAGGCTTCAGGATGGTTTCCGTCGGTCGAGCTTGAATGCTGTTTTTGTACGTGACTGACTGACTAGTGTAGATTGTTTTGTGTGATTTTTTCTAAATGTGAATGTAAATTATATTTAATTATTTATATAAATTAAGAATTAATTTGTGTTTTTTGTTTTCAAATATTAAATATATTTAATGTAAAAATGTCTTTTCTTGTGATAAGTACAAAGTCAATGTCGTTGAAAGTTCACATCTCTGCCCTGAAGAGGGAGACATTTCCTCACAAAAGTTCCTACTTCGGTCTGAACGTGACGCTTCTAACAAACATTTTGACAACAACATTGAGTTTAAACAAGGACTATTCAACAGTCTCCCCCGTAGTATCTCTGTAAAATGAAATTCAACTCACCTTTCCCAAGATTTCAATTAATTTATTTTGTATTAATCTATTTTAACTGTCTGTCAAAACAAATCAACAATAAAGCATTATATACAAATCATAGCTAAGCTGACAGGCAGTATAATCGGCACATGCACAACCAGTTCATTTATATTACAAACAGGTTATAAGGAAATTACACCGGGAGAGAGAAGAAGACGTGTTAGAACACAACAACATGTACAACCCAGAATCAAAAGTAAGGATTCAAGCACCGGCCTATAATACAACATCTTCAAGACAATTCTTGTCAAAACATTTTTACAAGAGCATAGATTTGGTCTTTGAAGGGGATATTTTTATCCTGCGATCCCAAACGTTTTTTTACCTCATTGTGTTGTCAATTTAACCAATAATAAATAGCTCACATTATAATGGTAAAATACAATCAGACTACTTTAAATAGCCTCTAGATAAGGAGAATATTATTTGACATTTGTTATGGCCAACATGAATTAATGTGCTGTTGTAACTTTGTGTTTCTGATTTTATCTTTAAAATAGTATTGGTGAGTTGAAAATGGGTTTATACAAAAAACACAATAAAACAACAACAACAAAAAAATCTAAATTTGTATCCATGCAGACGTACTCACTGTGTTTAATGAACAGGATGTACAATTTTGCATTCAGTGCATCACTCTTTGTACTAAAGCGGAACACCTTTCGTGAGGTTGAGATGAACAGAATTTAAAAAAAGGAAGAGGTCTTAAAAAATAATATTTGCAGTATCAACCATAGTTCCCTGGGGTTAGTTATGAAGCTTTGGTCCCTTATTTGTCTTTGGTCTTTTTCTTTTTGTCCAGCACATTGGGGTTCATGTGTCTCGGATGTAGCGCGGCCTCGCTTCAAAATCCACCCGCTTCCTTTGGCCTTAAAGGGAAAATGTCCGCCTTTGGAGCTCGTCTTGAGGGCCTTTCTGCCGAATCTGAAGTGAGACTGTATCAGTTTCTTGGAGCAGCTTCACCTGCTAGCTGCACTCAGGAGTTCAGGAGCTTCTAACAGGAGGAGGGAGGGAGGAGAGGGGGGACAGAGCGTGACAGCCGGCGCCCTCTAGAGGTAGTCCAGCTCCAGTGCATGGCTCAGAGCCTCAAGATCGGCTCGACAGGACACCCTCCAGAACGGCATGTTCTTCTGTGAGGACGGAGAATTACATTTAAAAAATGCATTAAGATCAGGATACTTTAAGCTGCCGATGCAGAACATATGTGAACACTGGGGTTTATTCCACTAGTCACTGAAGTCAACGTGGATTGGATAATGACCTACAATGTACAGAAAGAGACTTGCCGAACTGTCAAACCAGGTCTGTCTGACATTTCAATGCAAAGATAGTGTGTAGAAAAAAAGCCAAATGACAGAAGCGGCAGAAATGGAGTGTTTTTTGAAGCTAACTGATTAGTTAAGGTCCATTTCTCAGCAGTCAAAGTAAAACAAAAACTGATTCAGTTGTACCTTCTTGGCCACGGACTCTTCTTCGGCTCCGTCTCCTATCACCACGTACACGGCCCTCCGACCGAACCTCTGAGAAACACGCTCAAAGCAGCTCTCTTTGCCTTTCAAAACAGAGAGAATCGGGGTTGAACATGTTAGCGTCCGAGAATTACATTTTTTGACCGAGCACGGTGGTCATTATCTCGGAAGCCTTCTTCGGTAGGTCCTCCTCACCTGTCTTGGTGGCACTGTATATGTTCTCGATGGGGAAAGCCGAGCCCAGGCCGTACAGCAACACCTTGGAGAGCGCGGGGATGAGCTGGGTGGTGGTTACCAGCACATTCACGCAGTTAGGCCTGGGGGAAAGGGGACAGGATGGACACATTTACATCACTCACTAAACGACACGTGGAGTTAGGACTGTCCTGATCACACCGTATGATGATCGGCTGTTTGACCTGCTGGTGCCAATCCAGCTGCTGGCAGCGTGAACTGACCTCGAGTTGATGAGCGCCAGGGCTTTGAGTGCTTGGGTCAGCCACAGGTCAGTCAGGACCTCCATCTCTCTCCTCAACTGCAGCCATTCCTCTCGCTTGGGGCTTCCCAGCAAACCTGCCCATCGGGGGGAGAAGCACAAGCTTTATGTTCAGTCTTTGCAACAAAACCAGGCAGGACGTGCGCTTGCAAAAGCTCTGATACATAATCAAATTTACTGAGACGTTTTTTAAGACCAAAAACGTCCGACGTGTGGCTTGCAGCATAGGTGAAGCTTCCAGCTGTAGACCGCAGTGCACAAGGGTCCATATCGAACAAAAGCTCGGACCTCGCTTTTCTTTTCTTTTTAACGACATTATGATCCAATTAACTTAAAAGGGCATGCAACAGTACTGAGCATATTGTATTAATTGGAATTAGAAGGTGTTTATAGTCATTTGTTCAGAGCACATCTCTAATAGAGGGTTAGTTGATGCACAAACTGGGGCTTAAAAAATTCAAATGGTATTTTTCTCAAGCAGGAAGCTTGTATAACTCAATGCAGTATGAAAAAAGCGTAGACAAATCCCTGTGGTCTGAAGCTGAGCTCAGATTGAACTCACGCTTGTGGCTTAGCAGGCGGGTAAATATTCACAGTGTCTCTATACTCATATGAACCACAACATTGTCTTCCCGCCTTTATCTTATGGGTTCAATTCCATCACATGTAACCCTTATTAAAACCTCAAAACTCACAGAACCTTGTTGATCTGAATATCTCTGCACACAGCAGTGTACAATAAAGTGGGAGCCGGGCTCACCTCCAACATTATTCTTGTATGTGTTGTAGATCTCCTTGACTCGGCGGTACCGGAAAGCCAGTTTCCTCATCCAGTCCACCCCTCCGTGGACCCCCGACCCCAGGCACAGGGAGCCGGCCCCCGCTGGGCTCTGGAAGCCGTCCGACCCAAAGTTGTAAGTGCTGCAGGATCACAATGCAGGAAGCAGTCGGGATATAGATCATAAAGACACAAAACTGCATTTTCTTCACAGCGCCGTGTAGTAACACTATCATTGTTGTTCCAGGGGAGGAATGCTATAGGAGCTGCCGCAACTTTATTCGTAGGTAGTTTCTTGGCTTGAGGGATTGATTCAAGCAATTCGGGTAATGAACAAGAAGGCAGTGCGTAAACCATTTGTCAAATTTAGGGAGCGTGCCAGTGCAACCACAAACATCTCAGTTGAGTCTGAGGGAATGAAAAAGCTGTAAGAAATCATGAAGTACATACATTCAGCACATCTAGGATGAATAAAGAAACGTCTTTGAGAATGTAAAGAGGGCCAAGGACAATAAAATAAATACTTTGGTACAGTCTGGCTCTTCCTCCTAAAAGTATCCTAAAGTGCTTCAACAAGTTCAGCAATAAAACGTCTGGACTGAGGGAGACAGAGGGAATGATGAAGCAGATCTATGATGAGTAAAGAAAAGCGTTGGATGATCCCGCGACATATTATACGGCCGGGGAAGTCGGGCAAATAAAAGACATGTACATGCCTGCATGCATGCATGAACACACAGACGCGCACAAACTCTTTGTCTCATCTCCCGGATTTTTTTTTTCCCCCGCATGTGCACTAAACCCCGGGGGTGAAGTCTGGTTCACAGGCCGCAGCAGAGCCCATAGAGTGCAGTAACACAGAAGGCCGTTTACCTCAGGTCTTGTCCGTTGTCGTCCGACGCCACGTCATCAATGTGAACCTGGTCACATTCCTGGGAAATTAAAACGGAGAGCGGATACATCAACAGATCCATTTCAGCGCGGAGCCCTGCACAGGCAGGTCTCTTCGCTATAGCAGTGCCTGCGGGAGTGATAGGCGCTATATACGTTAAAGACAAAGAAGGAGGAAATAAGATGTCAAGACAGCGAGGCGCCGGTGATACAGGACAGTCGACACGGCTGTGCGATGCTGCCGGTAAAGTAAAGTAACGTTGCATTTTTTTCAATAGACTGTATAAGAAATCCACCGAAGAAAGGCCTATTGTCCCTGACAATAACAGTGGGTGCGCGTGTTGTTCCTCGCTGCTGGATTTTAAAGCAAGCAACCAGACCACAGGGATTTAAACCACACTGAAACTTGAACGCGTGGCTACGGCCAAAACACCTTCAGCAACATGCAATTAAATCAGAAACCTGAAATAGTTATTATCATTTGATATTTAGGAAGAAAACCCAAAGCTGGGAGCATAAATCTATCATAGCTGTCCAGGAGGAAGAACGTCTAACGAAAGCTCTGAAAGAATACTAAACTCTTTTTTTCCGTAATCCAGCTTCAAGCCTCTAGGTCGAAAGATCTTTCCCATAATAAAAAGTAATGGAGTAACTTCTAGTCGTCCCATGGCGACCTGGGACAGGGTCTCCTTTCATTTTCTAGCCTACCTCATCTTCCTTCCATCTCTACGTTACTCAATTTCCAAATGCTGCAACCCAGCCTGCCGCTCAGTGACCATAAAGTACTAACGGCCGAGAGTCCGAGCAGCTCACGTCTTAATCCAGTTTCAAAAGCTGGAAATGAAGTGGAAGACAGCCACAGCGATCTACCCGTGTACATGCACTTTCTCCTTTTAGAACGGCTTGAATGGAATTTCTCAATTTGATTAATCAGACGCGCATGCCAATCTTCTAGAGGCAGTGCGGTTATGACATAACACTCATAACACTGACGTAGCGGCTGACATCGGAAGGACAAGTTAATTGTCCCTCAAGACTTAACAGCTGTTGTCAGCCCGCCGCGGCTGACTTCTTTGGAGATCTACTGAGCCCTGACAACAAAAGAGGGGATAAAAACCGGGTTTGCAAATGGCCTTGTTGGCTCCTTTCCCTCCTCTCGACCGTTCCTCCTCCCATTTGACAAATTTTCCTCTCGGATGCTCAGACGCACACCTATAATTACAACACAAAGTGGACTTGTTCTCTCTCTCTCTCCGTCCCTCTCTAATCTTTTTTTTTCTTTGTCAGAACAAGGCCGTGGAATTTAGGATGAAAAACGTCAGCCCTCGTCAGTCACCATAGGTCATAAAAAAACAGTCTTTTCCTGATCTCTTGAGGTTTTAGAGGTTATGAACTCTGGAAGATTTCTAGGCAGCGAGATGGGCCAAACTGTAGAAGTACTTATGCCGGCAGTTAACAGCCCCTTTTTGAATGTGCTCAACCCAGGAGGGCAAACTGTTTGGAAAATGCTGTAGTAAGAATTAATACAGGACATCAGTGTGAGGGGATTTCTACAATGACTGCCACTGTGCTTTTTGCCAAGTAAGAAAATAGCTTCCAAATGTCAAAACCTTTGCAAGGCTGTTGCAGGGGAGATTTTCTGGTATTCCAGTTTATGCATTTAGATATGTTTTACTGCTGATATTTTCCATTTTATCGGAAATAAATCAGAGATTAAAAGATGGGGATATGAAAAACGTGTGTGACGTAAGGCGTAATGGCCCAACTACCAGTTTAAGGGGACAAAACCTTTTCTAAACAAGCTTCCTTCACGCTTTTCTTTAATATTCAACTCTCAAACCCATTTAAAATCTCACCTCCAGGTCATTGAAGAAGAGTCTTGAGTCGGCCAGGTTGAAGATCATCTCCTCCATCCACAAACCAAGAGATACGGCCTTTGATGAGTCCTGATGCACAGACACACACACAGCGCTACAGTCAATAAACCTGCTACGAGAGTCACACTGCACAGTTCCACTTCAATCGCTGTGCACATTAACGTTCTGTCATTTTGACCTAAAAACAAATAAGATCACAGAGTCTGAAAACAATTCATTTCTTATCAATGTTGAGTTGAAATCCTCCCACAGGCGAATAAAAGTTCTTATCCCTCACATTCCTTTCAACGCATCTAAGTGAAAGAAAACTGCTCCGTGAACTACAGTCTGTTTTAAATAAAGATCAATCATGCGTTTAGCCTGAGATTGATGCTCTAATAGGTTTGGCATAAAGGGAATAATTAGTTGGATTATTGAACATCATTACTCTTCTCCTGTCGGTGCAGTCCCCTGCTTGTGTCTCTGAACTGCTTTCCTTTTACGTCCTCTGCTAACTCATGAACTGGATTGACGTAGACCGGTTTCAGGGAGAGGCGAAGGTGATTGATTACCTGTTTGTCAAAAACGCCGCTGGTTCATATCTTAAAACATTCTTTCGTGAATTTAGTTCCTCTTCCTGATTCATTACAGTAAACCATTAGGAAGACTTCTTTATAAAGTCATTCAATCCCCTCAAGACTTAACCGGCCATATCTATATTATTATTTTGTAAACTACAAAAATTTGATTTGCTAGCCAACTCTTGATAGCTTTACCATGCAACAACGTGTAAACACACCAACACGACCGCGACCCCGCCAGCAGGCCGGAGGTTACAAACTGACACAGCTAAAGGTTAGCATCAGCATGCTATCACGCTCACAGCGACAACGCTAACATGCTTAGCGGCTACATTCTTTGCAATTTTAAATACTCTAGTCGAGCTTCGTAGCACGCTAACATTTGCGAATTAGTGCAACTGAGGCTGATGGTAGTTTCATTCAAAGTTCAAGTACTGGACAAATGAAATAGTTTGAACCTGAATTGATTACAATTCCCCCTGACGTGGACATGAATGTGTGAGAAAAACTGTAATCTATCAGTCAATCCATCCAGTTATTGGCCTAAAACAAATGCATATTTGCGCAGGTTGTGAGAATCTGCTCTTAGGTTTTCGCATAGATGTTGCATTAGTTATTGGACTGTATGAATGCCAACAGTTGGAAAAAGACATAACAAGCGGTGATGTAAGCATTGACTCTTTCTCTCAGTACCAACCCAGCTTCTTTTTTGTCTTGCATTGGAAAAATCCAAACAAACACTTCAGTGGTTCCTTAAGCAAATTATAAACCATCATAACCCCCGGAGAAAACAAATATATCCTGATCAGGCTGACAAACAGCGTGTTGTTGTTCCAGACTAGAAAAGCAGGTGTGTGTACGCGATGCGCGCCGTGTTGTTTTGATGCCAGCGCCGACTCGACTTTGGCAGCGAGACAGGAGAAGCGGAGCGGTGTCAGCCAAAGGTGAATGTCGGATTAGTACATCTGAAATGACAAGATAGAGCTGCCTTCTGGCTCAAAATGCTAGAAATGGACTTGATGACACAAGAATGGTAAATGATGACAATTAAATGCGCACCCTCCCTCCACCCCCCCAAAAAAAAGATAAAGGGAAAAAAAGATAATTGAGGCCAAAGGGCGGAAAAGGTTCCGTAGGAAAATGACTAGGGGGAGGATTGAGAAACACTGGACGGATGAGGAAGAGATGAATGGAAAGGATGAAGAAGGAGGGGTTAAAAAGGCTTAAGAAAGGATTGTTCTGCTTGTCAAATAATTAAAATAATTATCTATAATCACCTTCCTCCAAATCACAAGGGCTGTTCCACACAGGGGGACAAATAAAAGCCTCTTCCAGATAATCCCCAGAGAAGAATTTAAGAAGAAAAAAAAGAGGAGGGAGAAATACACACAAAAGAAGCCCCTGAAACATCCACTTTTACGCTTGTGCAGGATGTCCGATGTGGAAAACACACCAGTGGACAGAGAGGGATGCGGTATGATGGCTGAGATAATGGAGGAGCTGTTACAGGGGAATCAGGTCCTCATGTGGACCTCTATTCACCTCTGACTCAAGAAGCTTCAACCGTCTTTCAACGCACCCATTACCCCAACTGGCCTGTATGTAAAGGTCCAAAACATTTGTTCTGGGTAAGAGTTCATTAGGATGGCGCTAATGGGAAGAGCCTGGGTAGTTCAAAGCAGACAGAACCAGGGACACCAGTAGAAGAAAGGGCCGGTTTCCAGAGCAGAATGAGGCAGAAACAAGAGGTCAAGGAACATCTTCGCTGGCTTGCGAGCAGCCTCGACGCTCTGCATTGTTAATCTGTTTTTCCGCTGTCACTCGTCTAATTCCTCGGCTGCATGTCGGAGTTTTGATGTCAGCGTCTGTCCAACTGAGCTCCAGTTTTTGGGTGGTGGGAGGAATCACGAATGTTTGGCACATGAGTCACATTTCAACACATCCACTCTCTTGCTCTATCTCTCTTGTTGTTTCTCCCCCACCTCCCCTCCCTCCTCCCTCTCTCTCCGTGGCAGAAGAGAAAGAAAAAGAAACAACGGCGAGCGCGGCCCGCCGGGGTCTGAGCCGATCACAAACGCTGCTGTGAAACTCCCATCAGCCTTGTGTCAGCCCGCAGGGGGACCGTGAGAATTCAAAACACGCATCCTCGGGCCAAAAACCGAGACCACGCACCGCTGGCCTTCCCTCGTCGGCTGCCTGTCTGTTGTGCGAAGGCCCCACCGGCTGTCAATCACGCCGCGGGACGCCCGGGGTAGCCAAACAGCCCCGGTGCATTATGAAAAGAAACAAAGAGGGCAGAAAAGGCAAAACAGCCGGCGTGTGAAAATGCTCAGGGACGAGAGCCGGAGGTCGCGGACTCGTCTCAGCCGCGGCCGAACCTTTTGAGCGTTTGTCCAATAAGCGCTTCAGCACCTGAGACAAAGGGTAAGCTGACTAAAGCGAGGCTTAGATTGTTGTATTTGCCCACACGTAGCATGCGATGCAATGCTGTGAAAGTGCGAAGAACAAACCTCTTACGCTAAACGACAATGGGAGGGGTCCTATCACCGTACCTTGCCAAACCGTGAGGAGAAGGTTCCCGTGAGGAGCGAATGGAAAATGATGATGGTTTCATCCAGATCCCAGATAAACACACGCTGCAGTGAAATAACAGATATGTAATGTTAGCCACATGAACGCTTATGCGTGCGTGTGTGTGTGTGTGAGAGAGAAAGAAAAACATTGATAATTCCCAACATTGTGCGAGTGTTTGTTTACCTCTATATCAGAATCCAGAGGTGGAGCAGGGTCACTGGCTCTTTTCCTCCCTCTCATCTTCCCATCTGACCCTCTTCGTGCAGGCACCTCCTCTTTACCTGGAGTGGGGGGGCTGGGCGGCGCGTGGTACTCTCCTACAACGCACACACACACACACACACACACACACACACACACACACACACACACACACACGCACACACACACAACAGTTTCTATAATACAAACGTTTTCAAAGATTCATCATGAGGGTACCACTTTTTACACTTGATCTACTAGTCATGGAGAATTCAAAATATGCCACAGAGTTGCATTATGGGAAGTATTGGAAGGCATACAAAAGAAGAAAAAAAAAAGGTTAGTCATCTTTCATGCTCGTGTCACCACGTGACCATTTAAGACCACTTGCCTGTGTGTGACTCTGGGCTGTGATTGGGCAGCATGACGGGGTGTTCTGGATGCTGGTACCCCAGCGGAGTTGGGATGGCAGCGGGGCTGATGTTGCTGCTGGCCAGGTAGGGGCCGTTGTAGTGATGGGAATTATAATACGGGGAGTACTGACTCTGACTGTAGCTCGAGTAGGCTGAGAACTCCTGTCAAGAGGTAAACGAAGGACTTTATCCAGCCAGCGTCATTGACGTTCCAAAACGAGGCGTCCAAAAACATGATTTATTTTGTGACGGTATCGCTACATTAAGATACTACTTGTCAGGTTAAATATAATCACCAGCCGTGACAGCTGGTATTGTTTGAGTGTGTGTGAGCCACGGTGACAAAAAGTGCCCCTGAATACACCTTCTGTATCTACCCGTACAGGGTCAATGTGTTATTAGCGGATGTTTTTTTTTTTTTAAACGTTTCTTCACAGCAAAACATTACTCACTTGCTGGGTGGAGTTGAATGTGGTTGAACTTGAGATCGCATGAGGGCCTTGAAAAATTCCAGACGGAATACCCCCACCTGGAAAAATGACGCGACAAAGACAAAGGTCAAACCTTTTAGGAAACACTTGATCATGCAGGGTGGAGAAGAGTTACAAACTGGTGAGAGATTTGACCGTGTAACCAACCCATAAGATATGATTTCACAAACGAAACGATGGGATCTGTTTAACTGCGTGGAGGAGGTGATGAGCAGCAGACCGTGACTCCTTCCCCTGCGACACGTCAGTGCTGCAGGTGAGGGGAGATTTATGTTTGGCATGACAGTGCAGGTGTGAAAGTCGCTGGAAATCTTCTCAGTACAATCAAGCCAGGGCAAGAATATACCTTTCCTCAAAGCAACCCCCTCCCCACCACCACCACCGGCGATGCCGCCTCACACTGAACCTTTACTTTCAAGTCCGTCCACGCTGTTTGCGTGACTGATTCATTATTTCACCTCCACCTGCAGCGCTTTAATTTAGCTCGTTAGATGGATCTCAAAAGGTCACGAAGGTTTCAAAGCTCTTAGAGGCTGTTCTTCAGCACGGCGGCACAACGCAGGTACAAAGTTCCCCAGCTGGGATCGATCAGGCCACCAAAGTTCATGGAACTAAATCAAATACAAAGTCATCCCCAGTTATGACAATTCATCCTGAGTAGAACAAATTCCAATGACGACCCGTCCAACAGTTTTCAAAACATTTTACTCAGAAACCACCAAGTTCAACCTCTTAGTTGCCCAGAGAGTAAATTAATCCTGTACGAGCTACAAAGTCTGGATGGAATTTTGGGCAAATCCGAGCAGAGGGAGGTTTAGATATCCCACTAGACAAGTGAAAACTTTCTGCAGCCCCGTGTGGGTTTTCCTGGGCCGTGCTCCTCCCACGATGGGGAGCGCAATGGGCTCCGAAATGCCGCCATTGTCATTAACTGCTGACTTGTTGCTGGCAGACAAGATCAACAGCTGCTTGGTTCCCAACTGTACTGTTTATTGATGGGTATTTTTTTAATGTGCAGTAAGAAGTTAATACTAAGGATATAAAGTACTCTCAGACCTTCTTTTAAATAGAAACGTATATACTATTCCTTCCTGTGACCTGCCGTGACTGCTGGCTTTACTACGGGGGGGCAACAAAGACTTACGACCCCAACTTTTTGAAAACTTCAGTTCACTACTGCTCGCTCTTGTTCCACTTTGCTTCTCCTCCCCTCCACAGCGGCAAAGTGACAAACCCAGAGAATAATGACTCAGTGGAAGAACCACACTAAAACCTCCCCGGACAACACAACAATCTTCAAAGCGACTGAAGGGAAAAATACAAGAGGTCTCTCGAATAAACACAAGAATGCTCCCATAGTCCTGGTTTGGTTTCAGTCGTGCGCGCAGTGAGCGGTACGTGTTTTTGATGGCTTTTTGTGGTGTCTGTCCCCGTCCGTGTGTGCGTGCTGTGCGTGTATTGTGTACAGCATAATGGAAGACATGGAAACATTATGAAATCCTACAAACATTCGGTTGATGTGGCAGTTAAATGCTGTTTGAAGTTTGCAGTATATGATTTATGCATAAAAATATTCAAACAAATTTATTTTGTTTGGGAACAGTGTCTTTCAAACAAAAGAGAAAAAAAGGTTGTTGGTTCATCGGTCGCGCACTGGCAGAGCAGAGTCATTGGGGGCTTTGCAGCTTGTAAGAGGCTTCATCACAAGTTTGTTTACGTGTATTTTATATCCCGCTATAATGTCTGACATCTGAATATTCTCCTAAACGGAGGTGACGTGGGAAACCAAAAGAGAACAGAAAAGGAAGAGGCGATCTGTAACTCATGTGCTGGTTGTTATCAACTTAATAAGTACAACTGGAGTCTTTGGCCCTTATTTCTACTTCCTTTCATCTAAAACCACTTTTTGGTCAAATTACTACAGTTTTTTACAATGATTTCTAACTTTAATTATTAAAATTAGCAAAAAGTACCTGTCTATCCATCTGCAAGATGGATGCTATGCGAACGCACTGGCCCATAATAATGGTTATAACGATTTGCTCATGTTGCAATCCCCACTGTACTGAGCTGCGATTTACAGTAGGAAACTCCAAACCTCATCGCTTTGCCCTTTTCATCCTGTTTTGTCTCCCTTTTGTCTCCTCCATACAGTGGAAACGGGGTCATTCCCCTCGTCTGCAACATTAACCCCCCCCCCTCCGTATAACGCACCTTAACCTCTCCCCTCCCACACACAAGGTCAATTTCATGCTGCTTTCAAAGCCATAAAGTCGCACTGAGCGAGTCATGCTTTGGGCGCCGGACGACTGAGGAATGTTTACAGCACACACACACACACACACACACACACACACACACACACACACACACACGCACACACAGTTGCAAAAACACGCAGTAGGGGCCATGCTCGGGCAAAGAGAGCCACAACCTTCATTTGAGTTGTTGTTTTTCCAGCAAGGACCTTGCGCCCATCTCTTGTTCTCGGCTATCCTTTGTTTTTAGTTCCTTTCCTCCATCCTCTCCGTCTATATGTTTTCTCACCGTCTGTTCCTCTCCAACAGACACCAGCGCTCGCATGCTGTGTTGTTGGTCTGAGTGGAGAAAGGGGGCCTGACCCCGGGAAAAGAGGAGGGGCGGGGAGACTTTTGACGCCAGGAGTCCAGACCGCGGCTAATGGGGAACAGGTGTGGCAGAGGAAAATAGAGAAAGACGAGGAGGAGGAGGAGAGGAGTGAAAGGGTCGAGGAAGGAAGAACAAGGATGGAAGATGGCGTTTGGAAGGTTTGTGCGTGTGTGCGAGTTTCCGGCTCACCGTGCGTGTGCGAGTAGCTGTAGAGGCTCTGACCCGGAGGAGTGCTGCTGAAGTTCGAGTAGCCCAGTAGTCCCGTCTGCCCTGGAGAATGACTTAGGCCGTCTTCTGTTTTAATGTCTTAGCATGGAGAGAAGCCGCGAAGGGAGCACAAGTTGAATGCGTTTGGTTCCATGAGCCAACTAGATAATATGGAAGTTTTTTTTACATTCATTCACAGGTAAAAAAAAAATAAATAAATATTCATTCCACTGTGGATTAACCAATAATAATGACCCACACAACCGTCAGTTTATAGATGACATTGAATCTGTGAAAGAAGCGACTGAATTAGTTTCCAGTTGAATATTGATGTATTTTTACAGCATCACATCAGGAAAAAAAAGCGGGCGGCACCACCTTGCAGCATCTGATGCAAATAATCCCAGAACACTTTGCCATCACTTTACACAAACATTCCCCTTTGGTGATGATTATCAAAAGAATTCCTGCATCTACGGAATGTTTGTTCGCACTCACTGTAGGAGGGCACGCTGTAGCCCTGTGTGTGGTGGGGGTACGGTGTGTACGGCCCAGCGGCCTGGAGGGCCGGGCTGTACTGAGTCTGTCCGTACGCAGCCATGGGCGGATCTAAAATAAGGATGAAATAATGAGGGAACTTTTAATAGCGAGTTTCTCTTTTCTCTCGTCCAGTACAATTGAACACGGTTAGAAGCGAGTGTGAGGAAGAACACAGTAACACTTCCTTTTAATGCCACGAACAGAACAAACCAAACAACACATGCTGGGAAACTTACGCCAGTTAAATCTGAATCTGAAACTATTACCAAAAAAAGTTGGATTGAACGTTTCCAGTCAAATACATCACGTTGTCATGTTATAACAACATCAGAGTAGAGCTGCATTTGATATGAACACAAAAACATTGCGTGACAAAATAGTAATACAATTTTCACTTTCAATTTTGACAACAAATCGTCACAAAGAACTCACCCGCAGTAGGTACGATGACTTTGAAATGGATTATATGGAACCCTGTGAATGAAGCGAAAACAGGCAAAGTCACAAAATACACAATGAAAGCAGTTAGGAAGTTAAAACTTGAAACTAATAGAGTTGTAACCAGATTCAGCATTTTTCATTTGTACAAATCCAGAGAAATTGTGTTCTGCAGGAGACGCTTTTCCCCCAACGAGAAAGATTTCACGAAACGCTTGGCCGTCAACTGAAAAATCAATGCAGTTTTTCTACATTCAATTACACTTTAGATACTCGTTAAGTGGTGCAAATATCCCACTGCGGGCATGAGGGTGTGCCGACATGGTGAGCAGTTTTATCACCATACCTGGGTTTGTTTTCAGAGAGTACAATGTGTGCGACTGGATGACTGCAGTACCTCCTTCACCCCCCCGCCCCCCCACCCTGTTGTACTTTTGCCCTCTTACCTGGCTCTGTAGAGAGAGCTTTATCCTCCGTGTCCCGTCACACACTGCTGTTGGTCAGGTTCCTCCCGAGCCGTCAACTCTCCTGTGGAAACAATAGCCAACACTCGGCATCAGGACACAGGTATGCAGGTGACTGACACATGGCGACGTGCCTCCTGCCCTGTGGCAGCAGGATGGGGGAAGGGAGGGGAGGGGCGGGCAGGTATTTTCTCCGAGCGCGGTTCAAGAGGTGAATAGTTCCTGAGGGTAGACGGAAGGAGAAAGAGAAATCGATGAACGCGGTGCTTGTTGGGGAGAGTTTGGTCATAAGAGACTCTGACAGTTAAACGATGAGACGATGGAACCCGACAGGTGACATTGTTAAAATTATGGAAAAATGCTCCGCCGGTGCTGACTCACTGTGCTGCTCGGCAGTGGGAACCGTCTCTGTGGAGCTCCTTCAAGGAAATAAAACGAGAACGAGGCTGCCGTCCACATTTTTAGATAATGGCAGCGTGTGGGTTCTTTCACAATTTCTTTCTGCTGTTGCCGTCGGCGACAGGACGAGCCAGGGGAGAGGCCGCTATCCCTTCCATTGTACTTCCCTCAATTAGACGAATGTGGAGATAAAAGAGCGAGAGTTGAATGAAGGGGAAAAGAATAGAGGGAAGGGGAGGTCTTGGCTCAGTAATCGGGAGGTCAAAAGGTCAATGCCACACGAATTAGTCTGAGCAGGAAGCTGAAAGAGGTCAGTCTGGTCGACAGCGGACTCACACAGGGTACCACAGACATACTGTCGTACTGACTTATCTTCCTGTATTTTGTATCAGGGGAAATCTGATTTAATTCTGCTGCGTGCAACAATATAAACAGTTTGTTAACTTCAGTTCAATCGTTTTAACACGATAATATCAACGGCGACTTTCTGAGTTTAGTCGATAGAGAGAATTTCTTCAGCTTCCAAAATGATATGGAACGTTACCCTTGTTTATTTATTCCACATGGCAAGACACAACAGCGCAAACGACTTTACTTATGCCTTTTCTCTCTCTCTCTCTCTCTCGCTCTCTCTCTTTGCCTCTGGGCCATTCCAATCTGGCGAAGCCGCGGCAAACTGGCTGACCTCTGATCTGGCTGACAACACCACGACAGAGACAGATGACAGTCATGAATTATAGGGGCAGCGGGGCTTAAACAGCAGATGAAGGTGAGGGTGGAAAAAGGCCTCTCGCTCTCTGAGAAAAGTGACCACGTGTGACAGTCAGCAGAAGCGTCACTGGCATCGCCTGACACGACTTACAGTGTCGTTTGTGTCGTTCTCGTGTCATTAACAGGAGCGTTTTTGACAGAAAAGCAGAGAAAAAAAAACCCCATCTTATGCTGTGGCAGCTCCAGCTGATGGAGCTGCCCCCCCCCACCGCCCACCGCCCTGCTTTAAAAACACCCGGGACACCTCACAGTGTTATCTGAGAAAATAACAGCACTTCAACCGTGAAACACAACCACAACTCTGCAGCAAAAAATACACCTGCAAATCTGTGTTATTGACCATAAAATAAAGACAAATTTGACACTAAGTCAGTGATTTCTATTACTAATCTACTAAACTTGTGAATTAAACAAGAAATGTTTTATTTTTAGCTTTAATTCAATTTGAAAAGCTATGCTTTTAATCCAAACCATTGAAACTACATCAATTGTTTATCAATGATTTTTACTATTATTTTCCAATTTAAATAACCTTTAAGACCCTGCAGCCATCAGAGATGTTGATCTGACCTTTGTCACCCGCAGGCCGTGAAGCTTGAGAGAGTAACACTGATCCTGCAGCACGGAGGGGCGGTGGGTGGGGCGTGGGGGGGGGATAAGCAAAGTGCTGTCGTGTTTCAGCATCTCATTGTGCTTCCAGGGGATCAAAAGTGAACGCGGGCGCCTGCAAAAAGTCTCCTTGACTTCAGCTGCATCGCTGCAATAGTCCTGTGTGCACACGTACGCATGCACGTACACACACACACTCACACACTAACTGTGTGCGATAAGGAAGGCACTTCCTGGTTCAGGGTGAGGCCTGGGAGGAGGACGCGCAAGGCCATGGGAACTGCAGGACACCGGAGGGAAGACGAGCGGAGCTCAGCAGAGACGTGGAGAGCAGAGGGCTGAAACTGAAGCTAAAACAAACCCAGCAGGGCCACGGGAGGCCACGGGAGGTCCCACCAGCTTCACCTGGGTCCCGGGGTTCCGCTAGACCACTGCTTCTTTCACGGATATCAAATTCTAGCCTTTGTGCTGACGGATTACATCACAGGATGGCGTATTGTGCTTTAAGTTGAAATGTCATTCGATACAGTTAAAGCACCTCGCTGGGTCAGTGCATATTTAACTGTAGTTCAACCAAATGATGAGAGACAAAAAAACTGACCCGTTTGGGTCCATTCAAAGTTAAAAGTGCTTCTAGTGATAATCACTCGGGAATAACGCACCTATAACCTTTTGTCGAAAGCGTTGTCAGCCAACAACAGACTCGGAATGACATATTAACTAATGTGTTTGAGTAAGTAAAACCCTGCGTTGTAAATATATGGAACAGTAAAAATCCCAAACAACTTGTAACATAAAAGATCAGCTCTCTTCTCCTTTGGATAAACTTTTTTGGTATGGTTTGAATTTGGTATCGTTTTGCTTTTAAATCTGATACGAAGGCTGTGTGCAAGTTTCTCTTCTCTACATTGGTCAACTTAGGGTTTTAATTGTATGTTAACTGTGTGTTACAGTTTGGACTGTGTGTGAGGATTGGACATGTGATAGGCCGGTCACCCACTGCGGTGACCCTCCCATGGTTTGACCTTTTACTGAAGCGCTGTGCATCACGAGACAAGGTGACTTGGCCGAGCCATATGGGACCCCACCTGGAGGGGCCCCAGTCAAAGTGCCGGAGGCGACGTCGGGGACACAAACCCTTTCTCTCTCAGTCGATAATAAAAGACACAGAACAAGGGCCCAGTATTTGAGCATCGGGGGCTTCACGGCGGAAAGCTGTGCCATCTGCCAGCGCCTGCTCTCTTTCACCACCTTTGGCACCCAGCAGTACAATTAGTTTTATCCTTTAAATCTTTTAAACGGCATCTATATTTAGAGAGTAAAAGCCATCACCTCTTATCTGCAAACTCCTCACATCAATCTAAACCTGATAATCCTTCAATAATCCGCATATGCAGACATATAAACTTGCTAGATCGCATTTACAAAACATATGTGTATAAACAAACATGTGCTTAGTCTACAGATTTCTGGTTAAACCAGTTGATCAATTGTTCAAATGATAGAAAAGGGTGAAAAATGTCAATTAAATTAAAACAATTAAAACAAAACGAGTTTCCTTTTTAATAACGTAAGGAGAAGTAGTAAACTGAAAAACTGTTTGAATTTCTCTTTAAAGTATAAATCATTATCCCAAAAGATGCCAATTGATTTTCAAACTTTAAGTGCCAAAAAGAGCCATAGGAAAGTCTCTTGAAATGAAATAGTGCTGTGAGAATTGGATTTTTCCATACAATTATGGATATTACAGAAAAATAAACCCTCAAACACCAGATCCTGATACTTTTTTCCGGAAGTCATTTGCAGAAATCAATAAATGTTTAAAGCAAAAGCTATAGGTAACGGTAAAAAACTCCAACGTTGGACTATAAACCAACTACACCGCAGCCATGTGAGTGTGAGTGTCCCGAACGAGGCTGTGAATATGTTCTCTCTCACTTCACTACTTCTCAGCGACCATATTTTTTAACACCACAAACAGGTCGAACTCAGGGTCATTTCTTGAAAGGTCGTATAAGAAAGCCTTTAAAGCTTCAGTTGACTACAGACCATTGGTCATCTAACCCAGAACCCATTGACTTCCACGAAGTATCCGGAAGTACAAAAGAAGCTGACTCATTTAGGTCTTTTGAGACTTAATCCTACAGCACTGTGTTAAACCTCCAATTAGCAGTTGAAGAACCTGTTTTAAATAAACGAACTGTGTACAGTTGTGAATAAGAGAACATTTCCCTTCATTACTCGTCCACAGAGAGGCTCAGAACTGCTGGTGGTCCACTAACAGATGTTGAGGATTGATAATCTCCACCCACCACGACCTCAGGAACCAGAGAATCTATTGACGGCCAAAGACATTCCCAGCGTGCCCTGCACACATTATAGCATCAAATGTGATATTTTTACACCGAGTGTGTGTCGTCTTCCAGAAACATCCCTGCTGGTACGAACTGAAATGGTCCTTTTTGTGATAAACCAGATTCACTACAATTTAGTGTTGCTGCTTTGCCCAAACCTATTAACAGCGGAAAACGGTGCTTGATTTTTGCCGTTAGCAAAAAGACCGGCGTCAACAGTACCCTGACGTTTCCTTTTTCCTGTTGACACCGAGCGCTAAATTTGCTGAGACGGTAGAGAGAGAAAACACCAGAGTAAGATGTTCCCATGTTTCCACCACCTTGTTCGCTATCGCCGTGACCCGTCTCGGTGCGGTTTCACACAGCCGGCGTGCGGACCTCCTCCGCTAATTCAGCCATTATGGTGTTTACATCAACAAGCAGAAATGAAGAAACCTGAAAAACCAGTTCTAAAAACTCACGGCAAGCGATTACTCACAGGGGACAGGGGGACTCCGGGACAACGTTCTCCTCAAATAACCCGAAACACACGCACACCTGGCTAATGCCGAGGATCCTAAAATGAAAAGTGAGCAAACGGTTAAGTCACATAATGACAGATAGAGAACAGGAGTCATTGTAGGAGGGGCCCCGATTAATCCCTGGCAGTGGTGAACCTGTTGCCCACTCTGTCTGCGCTGTGTAACTTTACCTCTCAGACTCGGTGGCCTCTCTTTTCCACTTGACTGACTCGCTGCCACAAGACTTGCTTTAATGCCAGAAGCTTCCCCCCTCCTGTCCCCCTGTAATCAAAGCCTCTCTATTCCACAATCCCAAGTGTCTTTATCTTGGTTTTTCTGCAGCGCACGTTCTCTCCCTCGCTGGCCTTCGCTGCCCATTAACCGACACTCAAACTCTAATTATATCACAAACTATTTTTCCCCCTCCGGCGGTGATATGGCCAAATCTGGGAAAAGGACCACCTACCCCAAGGCCCAGACTCTGACTCCCCCCCCTCCCCCCAGAACCAGTGGCCCGGGACAGGGGTCAAAGTGAGGGACAGCTGGCAGACCTCCCAGCAGCCCGCAGGAGCTGGTGTGGGGCTGGTCTGGGCTGACCCCCAGTCAGATGGTGGTCTGTCCCCAGGTAAAGGCAAAAAAAAAAAAGAACTAACATCTGGTCACACACGCGCTCGCACACTCACAAACTGGCACACGCCTGACTGCATGAGCGCTGCTGTTTTTCTCTAATGAACTCGCACGTGCACACTAATGTAGACGCAGGCAGCTAGCAGACCGCCTGCTTTATTAGTCATTAGGATGAAAAGGTTCGCCCTCCATCAGCCTCCTCAGCAGGAGGCGGCCAGTGGACGCCGTAGTTGCTAACAGCTGGCCAGACGGAGGTCGCTGGTAGCCGAAGCTCACAGGCGGTACAGATGGACTGAGGTCCAATTACTTCTTTACTATTAGATTTACTGTGCAAGAGTGTGTGTGTGTGTGAGATGGAGAAAGTGAGAGAAAGGGGAAAGCCAGGCAGGGATTTATGTCTTTTTGGGAGAGATAAGAACGCAGCATAAATGAGGTATTGTAAAAATGTGGGTGTGGGTTGGGGAGTTTGATCAGGAAGAAAAACTGTGTCACCCTTTAAAAAAAAAAAAAATTCTCCTCTGGGTGGAAACCGGCCAAACAGTTATTAAGCACAAAAAGAATAAATATGATCACGGCAGGCTAAACGCTGCGATGTGTGAGGCTTCTCCATTCGCGGGATGAGATAAGGAGAGTGGAGACAGTCAGAGGGACAGCTGTTGTCTGCCCAGGGTTTAATACACACACACACATCACCGCGAGGCCTCCTCGGCAGCTCTCCGGGGCTTTAAGGGAATTAAAGAGGGGAGGGAAGGGTGCGAGAGGGAGAATACTTTTAGAAGGAAGTGCGCTAAGTCACCATTAGAATATCCAGCAGCTTTTTTTTCAGTCCCGAGCTTATGTTTCACTAAACAATTAGGCGTTTCTACAGATTTGCACACGCTCAAGGCCTCAAAACAAAACCGGCACGCTACAACCCGATGTCCTGTACCTGATCGGGGCTCTGACACACGCACACACACACACACACACACAAACAGAAACATCAGCAGAACTAAAGTCAGCTTTTCAGAAAACAAGAAATAAGGGAAATGAGCCTAAAAGGTGTTGTCTTTGTTTCCCCGTGTTGCTTTAATGCTTTTCTTGACAGAATATGAGGTTTTACAAATAATAGTTGGGGCAGTTTTGATTTAGTCGGGCTTTCTGTTTATCAAGACAGCTGCACATATCAGGCTACACTCATGATTGCTTCTTCTGAAGTTGTATAAGGTTCAGAGGCATTCGTCCCATGAAAACCTAGAAGACTTCAACTTTACTCTGTTCCACGATGATTGGTATACAAAACAGAGTTAGACATAAATCACTGAAGAAACTGAAAGAAGTGACACTCGTTTTGTTAGTAATGTGGAAATGCATAAGAATGAAGAAGCCAATGACCAGTAAATGAAGGAGATCACAAATGCCCGCTGTTCTTACTTTAAAGTTAGAAGTGTTGCGTGGTTGGTTTGCAGCTCAAATAAAATGCTTCTTTTACTATCAAAGCCAAGACAAACTATTTGATAATGAACCTTGTCATCTTTATCACCTGTTAAACTTGTTTGCGTGCAAATTGAGAGAGATTTCCTTGTTCACAGAGTTGAGCAAAAACAAAAAGACAGCGTGAGGGAAGGAATACAACGCCTCATAAAACAGAAAGGGCGTAAACCTGTTTTAATATTGAATGAACTGACAAAATGGAACTCATCGGTTTAGATTTTAATACCAATTCAGAAAAGGAGGGAGCATTGAATACATTTTCCTATTTAAGGGTTGAGCCCTACTGTAACTCTGGGTTACGGTCAGCGAGCCTGTTCGCCTCCCAGAGGGAGATGGAAGGAGAAGAGGAGCAGGAGGAGGTGAGAGATGCACAGAAGCTAAAGGGACATCAAGAACTGTGCGGCTGTAAAGAAATATAATGAAATTGGTGCAGATAAAGTCAGGAAGAGCAGAGCTTCCTACGAAAATATTTATCATTCCACGAACGTTTGGCCACAGAGGGGTTTGGAATTAATTTGTGTTTTCTTAAGAGGGGGTGCCTCGCGCTACAGGATGGGGAATTCTCCACAGCCCGGGACGTTTCGGGCTGCTGCTTATTCACAATTTATTAGAGCTAGTAATAGGAACCATGAAGGCCGAGGAGAGAGAGAGAGAGAGAGGGAGGGAGAGAGGGTGAGAGGGTGAGAGAGACCCGGCCCAGCAGTCAAGAAATGGGGCCTAATGTTATTAAGAGACGAACCGCAGTGTTAAATCAAACACACCCGAGCACACACTTTTGGTATGTGGTCTGAGCACACACACACACACACACACACACACACACACACACACACACACACACACACACACACACACACACACACACACACACACACACCACCACCCCTCCATCGAGACCCTTGTATGGTATTTGTGGGGGTTTAAATACAGGTATAGAAAAAGAGGTCTTCAGAATTACAGAGATTTACAATCCGTCACAGACTTGAATAAGATACAACAACCATCTAAATAAAATCCAACTGTGGCCGGTTTTATCCCTGCAGATTTATGTCGGATAACTGACTCGGACAAGGACAAAATGTATCTGATACAAAGCAGAGAAAAGTGGGAAAAACATTTCAGTGTTATACAAACTGCGACGAAGGTTAAGTCAAAAACAAAAGCTCTGATCTATGAAAATGCGAAAACAAAAATAGTTCCAGTTCATAGTTCCAAATATGGAAATTGTTGTTAAGAAATAAAATTATACTGAGATCTCACATATTTCGTAACGTAAATTACATTTCATGAAGATCTTACCAGATCGGATGCCAATGAGTTCAACGTCATATTTCTTTTCTTTAAATCTATTTATGTTTTCGAGAACCAAAGGGCCACAATAAATCTGTGCTTCTCCAACCGTGCAGCTGATAGAAATGTTTAAAGGTGATTTAAACGGTTGGAAAAACAGTGAGGGAGTTTCCTAGTCTGGAGCCATGAAGGGGTCCTTGAAAAATATGAATACCAGCCTTTGAAAAATGCTTAGCGAGGCTCCCCTAATTTAGTTAATGAGGGTCTCTGCATGGCTGAGGGGGGTGTCAGTGATTTCAGTGTAATCTTCACCTAAACCGAGCCAAAAAAACGTTGCACGGATTCATCCAGCACCAAGAAAAACAAAAGAGCTCAATCTAGGAGAAGGTGCCCTCCACATCTTTTAAAGGGATTTTAAAGAAAGTCAGGATTAATAGTTAAGAAGAAAATGAAAGTATCCGCAGCTGACGTGAAGAGCCTCCAACAGACAAATATTTGCATTTTACGTTGGCCGGCCTATTTCTGCACTACAATATACTTTGTGTAGTAAACTCCACAACAAGCGTTTTGTTTGTGTGAGGCATTTTGGGTTGATTTTCCCCTTGACGATTAAGTTTATGATCTAAGTCTTTTATTTTTTATTATATACTCACACGTTATATGAAAAGATATGTTTTCAATTATTTCCCTTATTGTATTGGCCTGATATTTGTATGAATTAGGTGAAGTTAATAAAATCAGTTGAACATGTTTGGACAGACAATACAGTTGAATATTCCCTCTCATGTTAATGTACCGTGATTTAAGATATTTGATGAATTTAACACGATACACGAGTGTCAGCTTCTTATTCAGAGGTCGTTCTTCTGAGATAATTGCGACTTATAAATGATGTTTATTTACTACCGGAATTGAACACCAACGGAGCTGAACAGAAATATTTTAAAAATAGATTTTTAAATAAAACACTTCTTTTCCACTCACCATTCTTAGAAAGCAGGAGGAAAAAAATCCGATTGTGATCAGAGCAGTTGTCTCCCCATGCCCACCGGACCCCGCAGACTCCGAGCGGCCAGGTGAGCGCTCGCGATGACTCGCAGTTCGCGAGGATGAAGAGGAGGGAGAGGAGGAAGAGGAGGAGGAAGAGGAGGCACGAGAGGCTCCCGGGTGCTGACAGCTTTGTGCGCGCACTCACTCGCGTCGATATCTGCAGCCTTCCTGCGCAGCTTCAGGAGCGTGTTTGCTTTCCCCGGCGGTGGGGAAGTGATGTTAAGTAAATGAGGGAGGATTTCTGGTTCCTCCCCCTCCTCCTCCTCCGCCTCCTCGCTAGCGTGCACGCTAGAGCGCGCTCCCGTATCCCCCCCCCCAAAAAACACCTCCAACTCATTCCGCCAGCAGAAGCGCTTTGTTTGTCAGCGGCCTTTTCTCCTTCTTCTGTATCTGCGCTTGAAATCTTTGTTTGGTCAAGAGCTCTTCTTCGAGTTTGTTTATACAAAGACCCGCAAACCATTCAGCGGATTCTCCGCATGCACTCCAGATAGGAGGATTTGTTAGTTTGTGGTAAATAACTGCGGGCTATTGACCGGGTTTTTTTTTTGTCAAGGGGCTGTGGCTTCGTGATTTCCATCCCCCTCAATGATAGTCCTAAAGAATCAGGTGCAATTTCTCTGATTATTCAGCAGAATGTGCTAAATATTCGAGTTTAAATGAGTTGTAATGCAATCAGCCTATTTACTGCTGGTTGTTGAAGATAATTAACGGAACATGTGTCATATTTTGTTCTGTATGTATAATCTACAAATATAAAATAACATAAATTGAAAATACAAAGTGCCTCCTATTAGTGTAGTTAATAAAATGATTTCCCCTGCTGGACATCTTTAAGGTTAAAAAAGACAATACTTAATAAACATCTGTACTCAATTCTAAATAGACAAAAATATTTAATTGGTCTCAGCTATGGAAGTTTCATAATACTTATTCATTTGGAACCTAATTCAGTCCATTCTTTCAAATCTTGATATTGAAGTTCTTTTTCATTATTCTGACTCACTCCGTTTGAAGGTCGATAATCGTGATACTGACACCTGTACATCATCATTGTCCTTTTCCCACTTTAGCTACGACTTGTTAAAATGTTCAACATTCTTTCTGACATTCCCATAATAAACGATCAGGCATCGCCATCGGTTATCGTTTCTATCTATAGATGATCATCATTGACTCCGATGCCTAGAGCACATCACCTGCTTCATGGTTGCCATACCAGCCCGTGTGGAAGTGTGGTCATAACTACACGCTTAACTTAAGAAAAGCAATAGTTGACGGTTGTGTCTGCCTGAGCGCAACCATCATAAATGATCCCAAAACAGAGGAGACACAATGCAGGTGTCCCGTCCTCTGCCTGCCTTGTGTGTGAATGTGTGTGTGTGCGTGCGACATTGTCTCTCTGTGTATTCTGTAACATGAGGAAGAGTGTGTCGGAGCTTGGAGCGGTGACTCAGAAGGAAACAGGTTCTCCCGAGCGAGGGGACGACAGGATGCCCTCGCTGACACCAGCTCGACACCCGCAGACATGGATACGTGACGGGCACCTGGGGGAGATTCATGCCACTATGCATACGGGCTAGTGTCGGCATCACTGACCTTTACAAAGAAAGGAAAAGAACATCCTCGACCCCGACGTCGCTTTCAAAACAACACCTTGTTCTAGATGAACATTTTTGGTTTTTTTTTTTTTCAAACACTGTGGAACTAAACTGCTGGTTGCGTGCAAATTGAGGTATTAATCTATAAACAACAACAAGCTACAGGTTATGAGGAAACGTACATCTTGAGTATATGCTAAACACTCCAGAACAACAAGCATCAGATACTGATACTGGACATTAATTACACGGCTGACAAGAGAAATGCATGCTGGTCTACTGAGGCCTCTGTTATGGAGAAGCTTGCATCTTTAACTCAAGTAACTTATGGTGACAATTATGTATCACTGTTATGGCTTTTGTCATGTCATGTCTTTTTCCTACTATTATATGAACATAGTGAAATCCACCGACTGAATTGAGCAAATCTGAATACAACAACAATTCCACAACCTTATTGTTTATTTTTTAATACATGTGATCTTAATTAAGTAGTAAAAATGTGTTATATTCTTTTATCATATAAACAATCTTGACGCATTTATTGAGGATGAATGTTGTCTCATAGTTTTTATTGAAGGGAAAAAACAAAAATATCTATATAGACATGCTGGAAAATACAGCACTGAGGGGCGAGAGGACAATGGCTCTGGAAGCACCTTGACCCAGGCGCGATGATCTAGTCTGCCTGAGGTTCACGCCGCGGGGCGGCCGGCCCAGCTCCTCTCTCCCACTGGAATGTGTGGAGGAGAAACAAAAGCTGCCATTGTCTCTCTCTTCCTCTTAAGGGTCCGAGTGACTGACATGTCCGAGTTGCTGTCGCAATGTGTCATCCGATGTGCCATCCTGGTCCCTCCTGTCAGGATGGAGGGAAATGTTTACTCCCAGTTTGCCGAGGCACATTTTAACCTCGGCTTGGCTTTTCGGAGACGCTCGCGTGAAGCGGTTCCCCTTTTGAAGCTTAATATTTTGTTGTGTGGAATGTGGACGTCACGTATATAAGCATTGTCATTCCCATGCTGAGGGATCCTGCATGAGAACTTGGAACAGTGAAAGAGGGAGCATACAGACACAAGGAGTGTATTAATGTAATATTACACTTCACAGAGCTTATGTGGAAGGAAGCGGGAGCCCCATAACCACCACATCTGCTTTTAAATGCCCCTTTATTCAACCCCCCCGCCCTCCGAATGCATAAACCTTACCTTACCCGGGCATTCACACCCCATCTGCCCCCATGGCATCACCTCCCCCTTCAAACACACCCTCATACTTTTGTGAAGACAAGGTGTCAATGCAAGTGATTGGAATAGAAAGTAAAACATGAGAGAAGGAGCGTGGAAAGTGGAACGATGTTAAGGGCTGATGAGGAGTCAAGGAGACATGAAAGCTGCAGGTCTGTGTGACTTTTGGGATGTTTTCGACAGAGAAGGTCACTCATAAAGCAACTGTCTGCCTTTTGTTAACTTCTGTGAAAAGACATTTGTGTTTTGAGCATAAACACCACCATTACCACAACCGCTTGTCAGTTTGTTTTCTACTCACTTCACTTTGAAAGGCAAAAGTTTGAACCCCCTTTTCTTAAAAAGAGTTGGTTTTTGGTTTAAGGGAATGTGTTATTGCTTAAAGGGACTAGTTTGCACAGTGTGTTTTCCAACCACACCTGAAGGCAAAAGTGTTTCTGATTCCATACGAAAAGCGGGACATCATATTGTTTAAATCAGATGCTCATTTTTGCTTTCTTCTGGAAGGCATTAGAGGTGTTGCACTCATGAAAAGTGACAGAAGTCAAAAGCGATCTTAAGGGAGCAGTTTAAACCCTGGCTTCTCTCTGCAGGCCTGGCAAATCACTGCGTTAAGTGAGTGTGGATGTCAGATGTTCGTTTTTTAGTTGCCCGGCCCCCAATTCTCATGTTGGAAAGGGGCTGGGGGGGGTGAGAGAGGAGGGAGGGTGGGGGGCAATATCCGAGGGGGCAATATCCGAAGCTGTTCCATTTCAAAAAGCTGTTCCATTTCGAAAACAGTCGGGCCGTTTAACCATCCTGATGCCAGGATGGTTAAAGGTAATCAATAACTTTTACCCAATTCTCCAAGGATTCGAATGCAGCGAAGTGCTGTTGATCACGACATGTGATTTGCTTATTAATGTTTATCTTGTTTTTGAAAAAAAATGACATCTAAAGACTTTACGTCAAGCTGACGGGAGGCCAATTTACCCTCCACCCTCCAAAAACCATTTCCACTCCCTCTGTCTCTAATAAACACACCCGGCGTCCCTCCATCCTTCCCCACTGGGACCGGTGATGGAGCAGCCCTCCCTCCCAGTGAGACAGCTCTCACCCAGGTCGGTTATGTGCTGTGTGTGTTATTTAACTGACCTGGCCTCTAACCCAACAGCGAGGAGCCCCACCAGGAACACACCCATGTGCAGAGCGGGGAGGGGTTGTTTTTCAAGTGTTACGGATTGCAGATCTCAATTTGACGGAACAAAAACTAGATACTACAATCAAGCCTTTGAGATCTATAATGTTTAATTTTAACACGCAGTATGGAAACACAATACCCACTGCATTGATACCCATTTTGAAATACATTTTGTGACAATCCTTCTATTTAGTCAAAAAGGAAATCTTGTATTTTAAGTCTTATATAATATCAACAATGTAAAAAGAATTGTATGTAATTCATTCCCTCTCTGAGTCTGCACAGGAATCAACCAATGAGGAAGAGTATGTTCTATAGTGCATACACACATACTTCATAGCTGCTCTGCACCTCTCTCTCTCTCTCTCTCTCTCTGCCCTCCTCAGCGCCCCCCATGTCTCAGGAATGTGGGAATGATTGCCTTAATTTTATAAAGCGCACGGCTTCCTTTGGTTCAATTTTCACCAACACCATAAAAAAGAAGCAGTTGTAAGGTCAGCAAGAACCCATCTGGTTTTGCCATTGCTGCGGCTTTAATGACCAGGTAATAAAAGTTCAATTTGACAGAAATTACAACAGATGTTTCAGGCTGAAAGACTCAGACAGAGTTGGTTCCACAGCGGGATGAAACCTCAACCTGCAGGAGCTGCTCCACTGATGTGATATACTGTATAATATGACCAATGTCGGTGTGCAGCATGAGGAATAGAAATTAGAAATGCACACGTAACAGTACAGTGTGGAAGGTTCCCAGCTAAATACATATCATTTACAGACAAATCGTTTTTTTCATTTTTTAAATGTAAGTCTATCAAAGAAGGTGGACAGAAAAACATAAACACATACCTGCATAATACAACGTAATCAATCAGGGTATACTTTCAATAAATCAATAAGTCTCAAAGAGGTGATAATTCATCGCTGGTCATCTATATGGAAGTCTGTAGTGTGTGGTGTTGCTTTGTTGGACTGAATTATGCTGCAATGCACTTTTTATGGTATTTTGTCTGTACAAATATCAAAAATCATGAGTAGATTGATCTGTCAGCCAAACACAACCTTTGCAACATCAACACATTTAGTAACCAATGGAGAGCTATTGCATTGTGTTCATAGTCCATCCTCTGCATGCTTCAATCAGTGGGATAAATATAAAAAATGACTAAAAACAATATGGACATAA